ATCAACAACCACCGTGTTCCACACAATTTTATTCAAAATCCCGTTAAATTATAACTTTTAAAAATCACCCTGTTCTACAAAATACCGCCAAATATATTTATAAAACAATTGGTGTTTACCTTATTTCCTTTTTATGAATTGGTCACGGCACCAACTATTGCCGTTGTGACCGCTTAATACTCGATCAGCAAAACGAAAATAACTAAAAATGGAGACAAAATTTTATTTTCTAATTTTTTTTACAATTTTATAATGATCCTGCAAAATTTAATTATTATTTAAAAATAGAATATCAACAAAAATTAAAATACAATTTCACAATGATCTTGCCAAATTTAATTCCTATATCTAAAAATAAAATAAAGCAAAATATTAAAATACAGTTTCATAATGATCCTGCAAAATTTAATTATTATTATACACGCAAATACGTATTTTCAAAAATTATCAAATACGTCTTGCCACCTCATTCATGACAAATATGATCATTGTTAGAATTGAATCCATAACCAACGGATAGGTAAGCAACGTTCTTGCCGACTAGTCCACAGAGGCTTTTCAAAAATCACGATTTTTAAATATATATTATAAATATATTTGGTAGTGCCTATTCAAATGAAAAATAAACAAAATACAAATTTTATAGGTAATACCTTAAGATAATGACTATCATACCCTTTTATTTATCCCATAATGGATTTAATCCATATTAGATATATTATCTTCATTTTTTTTAACATGTTTTAGGAAAGCTATTTTTTTCTTCTTTGAAAAACAGTTTTGATTTAAATTCTTAATGCGTGTATATTTTTGATATTATTACACAATAAAATTATTTTAGGACATAATATACCAACTAGGGTAGTGCGACAATAATATATAAAATCTTAATTGACTCTGGCCCTTATTTTTTAGTTACTAAATAATTATTTCTAATATCATCCTTACTGTGTAAATAAATCATGGCCACAATATATTTGCATAATTATTTATTCAAGAGATTTTTAGTGTTTTATTTTATTAATTTACCTAACATAATAAACACTGAAGTTTGCATGGCTTTGACTGTAAATTAACCAATATCTATTATTAGGTTGTCTATGTTATTTAAAATTATTACTCTTGCTGCTGAGAGAATTTGATTGCATAAATTAGCTGAGCAACAATGGCCAACTGTCTAGTCGTTTATATATCATTAGGAAGAGAATCTTTTAGAAATTTAATATCTCACAATAATTTTTTCGATTACTTATTATTTATTAGCTTCATCTAAGAGATATAGTTTTATGATTTGGACTAGTAGTTTATATTTGTCACAACGACAAGTTTGTCATTGTGCATCAAAACCTAAATATAAAAATAGAAATAAATATATATATAAAAAGGAATTTAATAAGAATTAGGAATCACGAAATCATAAAATCAACTTTAAGTCATTATTCAAAATTATAATAGTAATAATCATAAAAAAAGAACATAAAATAAAATAAAATATAATTAAAAAAATTAATAATTTAAAAAAAATCAAAGATTGTTTGTATCGTAAAAATTTTGCCTTTTTATACTCTTTTCATATAATCTTTTTATCACGCGTTATAACAATAAATCCACAAGAATTCTTTATGCAAATTACATATAAAGTACAACAAAATCCAACAGAAATCTTTATGCAAATTCAATCTAACATTTAAAACACCTCCCTACTTAAATTAGACCCAACATTCTGCGAATGATCAATCTTCTTTCGATCTCGACTTATTCTTCTTAATTTTTGCTGTCTTCTAAGTTCTAACGAAGGCTGCTGTCGCTTGAAATTTTTGAATTCTATCTGTCGCTTGTCACCCTGTAAAACGATCAGCTTTTTATCGCTGTAAGCCACTGACGAACTTGATACACGCCTGTTTTCCACTATCCACGATTGATAACGATTATCGATGACATCCAGTTTCTTTTCCTCTCTTGTTTTTTTGCTAGTCTGTCTTAATCTTTTTTACAATTTATCGTAGCTTGTTTCCTATCAAGACTAAAGTCTCGGTAATAATTGGCTATTATTGGTCAGCGATTAACGATTGCAGCATAACGTCTTGACCCTACTTTCTATCAATTTGCTTGTTTTTCCCTTTCTCTTGTAATTGATTGGTTGTTGCCTCTAATTCTTGTAATCGTATCTATCTTTCAGACTTCCGGGTCTTCTACGACAGTCTACTGCTGAGATATCGGGTAATCACATCTAATCTACTTCTACCAAAATAATCTATTTAAATAACTTCTGAAATATTTTATCACTTTCTTATATTTATTCTCAAATATAAACTACCTAATACAAATATACTAATAAAATATATAATTATACCAACCTTATCCTAATGTCTACATTTATCTCCTCTAAACTAATTCTGCCTTTAATAAATGGCGTAAATTATACTAAATCTTAAATTTATAATACGTAGCAAAATATAATAAATTATATAAATATATCAAATTCTATCACCCCTCTCCCCTTAATGAAGCCTAGACCCATATTTTCATTGAAAAATTTACTTGTACTCATCCTTTAGCTATTGATCCTCATCTTCTTTTCAGCCATGTCTATACTAAATTTATATCTAAAAATCCTATTCTAAAATATATATCAAAACCTAAAACAATTATCATTGTGTATTTATTTCCTCATGTACTCTTTGACACTCAAGTCTTTAAAAAAAACTGCTGAAATATATAAATCTCTTTTCATACATACGTTGTTGAGAAATCAATGACATCTAATCATAAAAGTTTTCATACTTACGTTTATGAACAACCTCTTAATTCTAATCACTATGGTTTTCACCCCACGTCTTTGAAGAACTTATGAAATCTAATCATTATAATTTTTCGCACAACCGTTGTTGAAAACTGATATGTATATTTCTAAAGCTTGTTTTTCCTTTTGTATTATTAGAATAATATTGTATGATTCTTCTTAAATCTTATTCATGATTCAAAATAAAAATCCGATCTCAAATTGAGCTCGATTGCGGCATAAATTTTCTAATGACGAAAAGCCGATTCTCTCTATGAAGATTTTTTGGTTAATCTACAACCTAATATACTAATTCACATTAATCCTTGAGGCTGTTTTATCTCTCGCAGCCCTTAAAATAAAAGTTAAATGTAAATCTTCAATAAGAATTTAATCAACTATTTCCTAACAATAAAGTTATATTCTAATCTTATTCACCGAATTTTTTAATTATTATATCTCAGCAACCTATTAGTTAAATATTAACTTTCGCAATTTATGTTTCTATTTCTTTGTCAAAGTTATTTCTAGTGATCACTTGATAATAATTCTAAAATCTAAAATATCATAGTCTTTATTAGTTTCAAAATTCCAATGGTTTTTAGTTTACCAGTAACTTCTAAATATAAAATTCCTAATTATCACCTTTAAATAACTAAACACAATTATATCTTTCTACTAAGAATGTTACCTTTGTCTTTAATTTTAGATTTTATATTCCTACTAAACATAATCTTAACAACATAATTTTTCCTTTTCATCTTTATTTACATATTTTTCTTACGTTCTTCTGGAATTTTTTTTTTTATATTAGAATACAGTTTGACACATCTCCTTGTTGTCCCACCGGTCACAATGCGTGATTTGCATTAGAATGAAAGTTGTAAAGGGCCGGTCTCCTCCGCTCTCCAACACCATTGTCACAACGACAAGTTTGTCATTGTGCATCAAAACCTAAATATAAAAATAGAAACAAATATATATATAAAAAGGAATTTAATAATAATTAGGAATCACGAAATCATAAAATCAACTATAAGTCTTTATTCAAAATTATAATAGTAAAAATCATAAAAAAAGAACATAAAATAAAATAAAATATAATTAAAAAAATTAATAATTTTAAAAAAATCAAAGATTGTTTGTATCGTAAAAATTTTGCCTTTTTATACTCTTTTCAATTTTCTTATAACTAATCATAACTATTCAAATATAATCTTTTTATCACGCGTTATAACAATAAATCCACAAGAATTCTTTATGCAAATTACATATAAAGTACAACAAAATCCAACAGAAATCTTTATGCAAATTCAATCTAACATTTACGACAATATTCTCTTCTTCAAGAATTATTTATTTGGTAAGGCTTAAAATTTTTTTAAAATTATTCCATTTTATAAAACATTGTCTAAAATTGTAACACAATGTTATATTTCATGGCCCTTTTTCAATGTAGGTTGCTAAAAATTAATTATTCAGATTTTGCCAATGACATATAATAATACCTAGACTGACGATTCATTCATTAAAATGCATTTTTAAGCGTCGTTAAAAGCAAATCAGCTGGACCCGCCATTTTGGTAACCTTTATAATAATTATTTTCATGTTAAAAACTAATATTAAATTGATAACTTACTTTCTTATTATCTCGATGATCAGGCAATTCTTTAATAAAGTTTGCATCAGATATAATATAAAATTAGGCTCTCGTTTAAAATTTTAATATTTATTACAGTAACCAAGATGGCGTCTCTAGCTGATTTGTATTGATGTACACTTTTAATGAATGAATCGTCAGTCTAGGTATTATTATATGTCATTGGCAATTTTCGATTAAAAAAAGTATAATATATTAATATAAAATCCTGCTGAAGATCGGGCAGTAGAGGGAATATAGGGTATGGTAGGCATAAAAAAAATTTTGTTAAGTCCCCTGAGATTATAATAGCTAGTGATAGAATATCAATTTAAATATCTTCGATAGATATTTAATAGAGTTCATTATAAAGCATATCTATTAATTATTATTTAAATTTGATAAAACTTAACTTAGTCAAAGTAAATTATTTTTTAAGTATTTAATTTAATTTCTTATAAATATATGTTATTAGAATATTTATAAAAATAAATAATAAAAAACATATGTTTTACACATATGAGACAACCTATATGAAAAAAAAAATTTAAACCCCGCAAAATTTAAATAATTTTTTTTAATCACAATTTTTCCTTATAGAAAATGAACTATTAATTATAATATTTTCTTAGAAAATGAATATTTATTTACAATTATAACAAAACAAAATGAGTAGTAATGATTATAAAACATGTAGACAAAACCAAAATATTAATTATCTGCCACCTAACCTAATTACAACTTCACACATTCTAGTTGGTAAAGAATCCGATATTTCAATACCTAATATAAATTCACGATTTCATGTGGATAAAATTGAAGAAAACATAGACAAATTTAATAAAAATTATAAAAGTACTCAAACTGAGAGAAATATTTATTCAAAAATGCATGATATTCACTTAAATCCAAAATTATTTATGCAAGGAAGCCAAACTAATGAAAATCTACAACAAAACTCAAATATGCACAGAGTTATGTCATCCTTATTTGAAAATATATCACTTAATGATAATCAAATGCTATATGATTCAAGAGGTTCAGATCCCAGTAATTATTACCCTGAATACCATATTAAGCAGGGCAAATTAACTCTAACTGATTCCTCTAATTTATTGAAAAGGTTAGACTATAAATTAAATAGAAAGCAGTTAAACCCAAATTCAGATGATTCTAGTGAATATATTAGTGAGGGTGGAGAGAGTACATTCTCTGATGTAGATAATATTTCTAAAAAATATAGAAATTATAGAGGAATGTCAGATATGTCAGCTATCAGTGAAATACCATGGCCTCCATCATCAAGAATTAAATCAAACTTGAGATGCACAAAGACAATTGAAAAAAAGAAATTGGAATTAAATAAAGATTCACCAAAAATGAATAAAGTGAAAAATTTTTATGGTAAAATTTTTAATAATCCTTTTTCAAGAACTGATAAATCTGAAAATGATTCTGAAAAGGTTATACTCTCTGTAACCCATAGCAACATAAATAAAGCATTTATTGGTGATGACAGCAATCCAGTTAATAATAGAAATGGAATGACAAATAGTGATTTAGATAGCATAATTCATCAGAAGAAAATTTCCACATATGACACCCTTCCTTGCTTGGACCATTATAAAAATATTTTTTCAATAGATAAATTCAAGGGGCGCCCAAGCTTGTCTGAACTTCACGAGGGTCTAGATCCCAATGATATTCTCCAACAAAAATCTGAATTTCCTTATGATAATGTATTACAATTTATAATAATTATTTTATTTTTTCTCTTAAATTTACAATGTGTTTTCACAATCTTGAATAAAAAAATATGCATATATTCATCTAATTTTTTATTAAAATTAATTTTGAAGATGAAATAGGTCCTGAAGTAAAAAAATGCAAATATTAAAAATTTTTTTTAAGGATTTTCAGTATTAGTGATTACAATACTTTTTAACATTCATTTTATTCAAAATTAAAAACATCATTCTTTATTATTTTTTATTTTCACCAACATCTAAAACATTGTCACATGCTTTTTTTGTAAAATAATAGAAGTTTATATTATATCTGTTCAGAGATATGTCAACCTGGCCCAAAATGGGCTAAAAAAATGGTATGATTTTACAGGCTGGTCTGGGTTTAAATATATTTTAATATCAAAAATCTTGGTCTAGCCACATTTTTAAATAAATAAATATCAATTAATCAATAATATTATGATTTAATTAATTTTTTAGTAAAAAAATCAAACCAGTTTGTGTTTTCATAAATGTTTATAACCCATGATCAATTTGCAAAAATATCATTTGAAGTGTATGGTTTACCTTTTGCAAAATGAACACATGATCAATTAGGTTGCACTATAATGTTAGAAAATCATATGAAGCATTTAATATTCGTTTACTTAAGGAATTTTCAATTTCTCTTGAAACATTTTGCCAAAATATAGCCAAAAATATTCAAAAAAACTAAATTTTAAAAATTTTGACTGGGCCAAAAATTTATCAAAAATGATTCAGAATATTTAAAAAAAAATCTGAGGTTCGGCTTGAAAATGGAATTATTTTTTTCAAATCTGAACTGGATCTGAAATTTTGATCTCTCCAGGTCTCTGATATTTTTATACTGGGCCACTCATTTAAACATGTAAGGGAGACCGAGGTAGGTTAGGACACATTTTTAAACCCAAATGTATTCCAAAATTATTTAAAGTATAAATGTAAATATTTAAAAAAAAATAATTTGATTTCTTGGACCAACGATGGTAATTTGATTCTGTTGTTAGATGGTCTACCAAAAAAATTTAAGGTTATTTTTAGCCTATTTTTAAAAACAGCTAAATCAATATTATACCCATAAAAATATTACGCAAGCCTGAAGATTTTGTTCATAGAAGGCACAAAGGCCTAGACCTATATATGTGAAATTTCAATGCTTAGGCAATATTCTAGCTAAAATATTGAGTTAGCCCTTTTTAAAAATCGGCTTAAAATGAGCCGTTTTACAACACTAATTAAGGTCTAAATATAAAATTAATTTTTTGTTATTATTACATTAGATTTAAAGTATATTAATTCTTAATAAGTATTCTTAATAGGGGTTTATAAATCTCATTACACTAGATTTAAAGTATTCAGTTAATAAGTATTCTTAATAGTAAAAATCTCGATTTTTAGCAAATCTTTAATATTGAAATCATTTATGCACATTTTTTTAATTTTGAAAGACACTTTTTTTTAATATGAAAAGATTTGATTATTCCCAAATCGTATTGCAGCATCTATTCCTAATTTTTATATATAACATTTTTCTTGTAAATTTTAAAAAAAATACACAATAAGTCATGGCAGGATTGTCTAAGATTCACAAAGAAGGTACTCTATAAATCTTAGAATTCCCGCATAATAAGGTTTTCAAAATTAAAACAAAAACGCAATCTATAATTTAAGTTTTTAAAATTTTCTAAAATCAAACATCTATGAAGCATAGCTCTGAAAATTGCTAATCCCCTATGAAATATGTAATAAAAATTAATGTTTTAGTTTTTTTGAATATTTATTTACTATTAATTGTACATGTGTAATCTAAATAAAATATAAATAATAAATGCCATTTAAGAGCATACTAACTCATATTTTATAATTTTGAAAAATTCTCAGATTTAAAAAATATATGTTTAAATTTCCACTCCTATCTGGTAATAAATTAGGTTGGACCATCATACCTCTGTCCCCAGTGCCCTAGCTTCCTTTATGTTTAGTATCATATCGTAACTATAAAAATCAATAATACACGTAAAAATGTAGAGTAGATTCAAATTTTAGTTTCGTAGATTTGATTGAACAATAATTTGATAATTGGAAGATAAGCTAAAGCTGAATTTACTTAAACCCTCGAGCAAGTTATTTTATTTAAGTCTAGTCAATAAGAAGAAAGGGCTAATAGTAACTATTACTATCCAAGCCCGATTCCATTCACAACTGGGGAGGGAGTCTTGGGAAGCGAAGACATTAGTCATTTTTTGACGAGGCTTGAAATAAATCTTAGAGCCACTGGTTTAATAATGTTTCTTAATATGAATATCTTTACATTGAACTACATGCTTGATTATCAATTAATTTGGAAAAAATATTTTGTAAGAATGGATATGGTAGTGATTTTATTTCATTTTTATGATATAAAACATAGTGCTTCTATTTAATATTAAAAATAGGAAATTTATTAAAGTATATTAAAAATTATAAAGATATACGGATCGGATACAGTTTCTCTATCATTAATCATTTAAATTCTATATAATACAATATTCATTTTTATCAAGGACAGACTCATAAAAAATGGCTATTATCTTTCTCTTTATTTAGTTAAATTTGACAAAAAATCGATTATTACTTTTATTGTGTAATTTTATTGAAATTTTTTTTATCACTATGGTTTATTAGAAAAAGATAATTTACTTTAAAATGTTTTTATCGGGGCAAATATAAAATAATATACGATACGTTTTAATTTTGTTCACATTGCCCCCCCCCCCCCCGCTTTTATAGTTTTAATTTATGGTAAATCTTGTAATTCACATTTTTTTCCCCTAGTTTTTATAACTTTTAACCTTTTATTTTTCCGGTTATTTGTGAAAGGATATATAAATTATAGATCTGCAAAAGTAGGCCCTGCCAGAACGGGCTTCGGGTCGGATTCGGGCCTATTTTTTAAAAAAGAAATTGGGTTCGGACTGGGCCGGACCTAATATTTTTTTAAAAAATTAGGTCCGGGTCGGGTTGAGTTTGGAAATTTTTTTTAATATATCTAAATTTATCAATTTTATGTTGAAATTTTTAATGTAAAATAAAAACATTTAATTTTATTTATAGAAACTAGACGCCATATAACATATATCATTTATTTTGAGTAATTATAAAAATTAATTTATATATTTAATAAATTCGGGCCGGGTCGGCAAAACTTTAAATATTTCGGGTTCGGGTTGGGCCGGAAAAATTTTAAAAAAAATTTCGGGCCGGGGCTGAAAAATTAGGCCCGATGCAGATCACTAATATAAATCATATGATATTTTTTTAATGGTATCATAGATGGATATATTACGTTATTTACAAATATGAATGATTCTTATTAAAGTCTCGCTAGGCCAGCGCGTCAGCCAGGTCCGCCCGGCGGTAGCTTCATCCATAAAATATAGACACTGACCCGAAAAATATAAATATTTTATTTATTTCCTATCCTTCCCTAATCAAATATCACAATTATAAAATAAATTTTTTTTTAAAAAAAAGAGAAAGATTCAAAAAAAAATTCAAGCCCACTGAGAAATATTTTTATTTTTCATATATCATATATTTTAATTATAATAAATAGCACATCATTCAAGATGATTACAGAATATCTAAGTTTAATGCATAACATTAAAATATAGAAATAAATATTTTGAGTTTAAGATTTCTTATCTATAAGTTTTTTTTGAAAAATTTGGGTTGCGGGCCAAGTCAGGTCTGAATTTAAAAAAAATCAAGCTGCCGGGGAACTCGGGTCGAAAAAAATGATTTTCAGGTCTCTAATTCGAATTTTAAAATAAATCAAATTTTTAAAGATTAAGGTATCGGCCATTAGTATCATTCAAAAATCATCACCTACCTAAAACATTAGTATATCTCTATATTTCAAACCTCCCTTCCCTTCTCCATCCCAACTCCACCCATCGCTAGATTGGCCTATCATATTATCGACGACGCATGATGCAAGTCTGAACTAAATTTCGACTGCGTATTTTTTTTAAACATGCTTTGTAGAAAAAACAGACTTCTTAACACTCAATAAAGATTAGTGACCTCACTGATATAAAGCATATTAATTTAATGAAGCCTTCAACCATTACTAATAATAATTTTTAAACTCCTTTTAATTTAAGTTGTATATCAATGAAAAACAAAAATTAAGAAAATCTGGTTTTACAAATTTATTTTTATTTGTTCTTTATTTTATATATTTAATTTTAGCCCGAAAATTTAGAAGACAACATGGGCTCTCTGAGAACAATAGAAAAGGAAAGAGGTATTTCCCAAGGCCCTAAATTTGGTTGGATCAAAGGTGTCTTGGTAAACATTATTTTTTGAAAACATAATAAATTATAGTCTATTCAAAATAAAAATATTATTGTAGCTCTGAAATTTTATTGGATTTATTTCAAAAAGTAATTACATATAATGCCCTTAAACCTAAAAAGTTGTATTAATTTTTTATCTTTAAACTATAATAATATTCTTTTCTAAATTTAAAATTTGAAAAAAATGCCTTTGAAGTTTTCTTTTTGTAAATGTCATTTGACATATATCCGACGGCCCTTATGTTTTTAATATACTAATTTTAAAAATATCGAAAAATACTTTCTACTTAAGTATATTATAGCAATAAATACACGCTTATCACATTTATTTTTATAATATCCTCCTATGTTTAACGTTTTTTTTAATAGTTGAGAATCTCCCTGCTTTGTAGATAACTAAAACAATATTACCATATGTAATTTGCTGACAATCATTCGTTGTTAGACAAAGATGTAAAGAAAATGAATCAATTTTTTTTACAAACTTTATATATGCACCTCAAAATTTGAGATTTTAACAATAGTTATTTTCTAGTAAAATATCGATATTTTGAATTGTCTAAGAGACCGGGCACGTCACTAGAAGGGCATAAGGGCTCGAACCTCCTAAAAAATTTGATTTTTTTATGCCACTAAAAAAACGAAAATAAAAAGGAAATTTTGAAAATAATTTTTAAAAATTTTCTTAGGCTAATGACGCCCCTGAGACCGTGGGCAACGGCAATCGATGTAACACAGCAAACACCAATAACTTTTTAACCATTTGGGTTAAATAACTTCAATTTTGTCAGAAAGTGTCTTTTTACATATATCCTCTACTATATGTTTTGCTAGAATTGGGAATTCTGCAATCAAAAGATATTGGCAAAAAAAACAGTTTTCAGCCTTTTTTTATAGGTAGTTCTTTTATAAATAAAATAAAATTTTTTATGAAAGATTCTCTATTGACTATATTACATATTAAAAGTGGTCCGGATTTTCTATATAATCTAGAAGTGTTTAACCCCAGATTTATTGCTGTCTTACCCCGGGAATTGGAGAAATGGTAATATCTCCGATATTATAGACTAGCTCCCAGACTATATGAGATCGTGCACTTGAAGTTTTTTAAATTTTACTGCTGGATATGAAGCTAGCATAGTATATTTAAGTCCTGTAAATTTTTTAATTGCAAATCGGGAAATTATAAATGATCCCTGTCTCCCCCACCTTTTATGGTCTATATAATAAACATCTTTCTGTTTTAATTAATATCTGATTTATACTTGCAAAAATAAAATAGTTCATCGGGTAAAAATAATGTTTATAAAATGTGGAAAGTTAGTTTTCAAATAATTTTGTTCGTAATTCATGAAGGGGACTTCTACATTCACGCCCTTTAAATTTTTTGAGAGCCCTTTCAAGTCAGTTTTGGCACGAAATCTCAAATTCATTTACATTCTAGTCGCGGCAGTGATTCATCGGGTTTTTCCACGACCCGTTGTTCATACCTCTAGTATCAATATGCTTATAAAAGAAAGAAATGAAAAGGGAAGTAAAATAATTTAACGTTTTTAATTTAATTAAAAACTACGAATTGTTAATGCATTTTTCGTTGAAAAGGGATATTTTTTTAAAAAAAATGGAATGCGCAAAATGTTTTTGAGAATAATTTATTGATTTTATTCCTCGTATATATAAAATATATGAATAATTAATTAATCTATATTTATTTTTTTGTAAGATTAATTCCCAACAAATTTATCGAAGCTTTATGGGAATATTAAAAATTACAGGAAATTGTTTTTTCAACATCTTAATAGAAATTTAATAAATTGTAACTTTTTTTAAACAAATAATGGGGAAAATGCGGATTAACAAATAAAAATGTAGTGACTTGGGATTACACGCGCGTTGATTTATCAGCAGAATCCAATAAAAAAAATGCCTTTGCGATTAGTTAAGCTGAACTCTTAAAAATAAATAATTTTTTGGAGATTGCAAATGTAATAAAATCCTATTTGTCGAATACTCCTGATGTTTTTGGTGAGGAGTTCCTAAAATCCTTCACATTATTAGATAGAAATTTTTGCGAAATTAAAAGGTAGCGATAGTTATAAAGTCTGGCCATTACGATGGCCCATTAAATAATTGTTATTTTTAGTTTTCTTTATATGCGCTATATAATTAAAAATATATAAATTAAAAAACAAATAAGCTAAAAAGAATTTAAAAAAATATATGTATAAAAAGGAACTGAGAAAAAAAAATATTAAAAAAAGGGTACAAATTGGTGTTGTTAAACGGCTCGTAGCCAATTTTTCAAAACGGCTAACTCAATATTTTAGCCAGAAAAATATTGCCTAAGCCTCGAGATTTCGCTAATAGATGTCCAAACCTTTCTTCTACAAACAAAATCTTCAGGCTTGCGTAATAAAATTCTGGATAAAATATTGAGTTTGACGTTTTTAAAATTCGACTCAAAACGAGCCATTTAACAACACTAGTACAAATCACCCTAGAGAAGAGTGAATGCTTAAAAAATTGACGAAAATAAAATCCTTCATTAGGGTCCCCTGAGAAAATTTTTTATAATCGTGATTATTTTTTTAAATGTACTGTACCGTACGTAATTTTTGTTTTAAATTAAAAAAAATATATATATAAAACGAATGTGAAGAAATAGAAAGTGAAAATTACATAATTTTGCCCGTCTATTTAATTTATAATTTTAATATTCTAGTTGCGATGTATCTTAAATATATGGGGTGTCATGCTCTTCCTCAGATTATCCTGGATAGTAGGACAAGCCGGAATAGGTTATTTATAAAATTAAATGATTCTTTCTATTCGATTGTGTAAGGAATGTCAATAAAAATTATTATATTAAAATAGAGCCAAAATTTTTTAAAAAAAGTTAATTAAAGTGGGTATGAATATGGATGAATGAGAATACAAATAAAATATATTAACTTTTGATTAATTTATGGTTGAGCGATAATTAAAAAAATTTAAATGGTAAATAAATATTAAAAAAAATATCAGCCTTAGAGTATATAATTTAATATCCTTATTTTCTAATATTTATAATGTTATTTTCCCAAAGTTTTGAACTTAATTTAAATTATTTATAATTTATATAATAATGAATATCTATTAATTAAATTTGTAAGTATCATTTGCCTTATATTAATTAAAATTTAAAAAATAAATCTCAATTAATTCAAATCTTGGGGGCTTGAATAATAATATGTAAAATCAAAATGACAATTTTAAATTAATTTTGAAATTATATTTTTTTAAAAATCATTTTATGTGTTTTAATTACGAATTGTGATTGTATTGTTTAGGATATCCTTTGAGTTGATTGAAACTAAATATAAAAATATCCATAAAAAATTAAGCATTTTTAAAAAATTTTGGCACATATTTAATTTAGATAAAATTAAACAAAATAATTAATCTAACCTAGCCATATATAAACGTAGGGTAAGGTTATCAAGCAATAATGCAGAGACCTGCAGAGGTAGCAATTACACACCCCCACTCGCCACTGTGTAAAATATAATTTGGTCAAGGTTTTAAATAATATACAAATTCCGCATATTACAGTTAGTTTTTCAGTTATATGAAATCATTTAATATCTAATAACTTAAAATTATCTTCTATATTAAAAATGTAGATTATTTTTCATTATACCAACGACATTTATTAAATTTTGTAATATTGTATGTTTGAATGACCAAGAAATTAAAATAATAACTAACTAGTATTTAAATTAATAACTATTTTATTTACTTAGTAAAGTATATAAGAACAAATTAAAATGACGTGGTTAGTTATAGATAATTTATAAAATTTAATAATCTATATAAAAAAATTACCATTAATATTAGTTGGATTTGGTTATTTTATATTGTATAATTCTTTAAATAGTAACAATTTCTTTCCTCAGTGTTTATGTATTGACTAAAAATTATAATAATCAGTCTCTGAACTATTTTATTTGAATGTAGTAGAGTATATGGGTAATTCCATGACAAATCACCCAGTGATTTGGATGACCATTTTAGAAATGGATGAAATTTGATATGAAGGTTTGGATTGTATATTTTATATAAGTCTTGCTCTAGCTCAAATATATCACAAGTTATGGGCCTTCAAAGTTCGATATAGCCGTTTCCTCTTTTAACAAATCTCAAAATTTTCATAATATTTTAGGTCTAAAGTAACTAAACTACATACCATTTTGTAGGCCCTAAAATTCTCCTTAAGGAAATGAAAAATTATTTTAAAAGATCTTCAGTGTTGCTCTATTTTTCATAAAACAAAAAAAAAATTATTTTGTAAAGTGCCCCATTTAATAAGATGAAACTCATAAAATGTTTTTATTACCAACATTTTAAAATATTTAAGCTAAAATAAAATACAAATTTAAATTGTATTAAATTTTTTTTTAATAGGAATAAATAAATCAATTATAGAGGGCGCTATCTTTAAAGAATATTATAATGTATTTTTTTTAAAAATAAAAATATGCATCATATATTATAAACATGAATATTTTTATAAAATTATTGTATATACTAAACATTTTTTAAAAAATGTATTTTTGAAGCCCAAATAAAGAAAATATATAATTAATTTTTTTTATTCCTAAAATTATAAATGCTAAATAAAATTTAAATTCTCATTTTCTCCATTAATATTTTTACTTAGATATTTAAACATATTGATATAAACATATTTGATGAGTTTCATCGTTTTAAACGCCCTTTATAATTGATTTTTTTATTCCTAAATTATAAAAAGCTAAATAAAATTTAAATCTTTTTTCTCCATTAATATTTTTGTTTAATATATAAATATATTGATTGGTAATAAACATATTTGATGAGTTTCATCGTTTCAAATTAGACCCTTCTCAAAATAATATTTTTTGTTTTATCGGAAATACAAAGACAGCGGTAATATTTTTTATATAATTTTTGCATTTTCTTAAGGAAAATTTTTAGGGCTACAAAATAGTATATAATTTGCTATAGACCAAAATTCTTGCTTTGTAATTTAAGATTTGCTAAAAGAGAAAAAAGCTCTCATCAAACTTTGAAGGTCCATAATTATAATCTATACAAAAAATTACCAGTAATATTAGTGGATTTGGTTATTATATTGTAATTGTTTAAATAAATAGCAACTATTTCTTTTTTTTATATAAGCTTTATGTAATTTTTGAATGAAAATTAAATTATAAATTATTTTTTTATTTTATTCACCTTATATTAGAGTAAAGAGTATATAAGGAGAAATTAAAATTGTGTGATTTGACTAAAAATTAAAACTATTATAATTAGTGAATAAATTTAAAAACTATTTTACCTTTATTTTATAAACTAGTTATGTATCTTTTTAGCGAGTGATATAAATGACTTTGAAATGGAAATAGGAAATATGAGAAGTGAATGAATATAGTCTATCATTCTATGATAAAATTGCTAAATATATTATATTTTTATATTATACATGATAATAGTCGAGTTTTAAAATATTCGGCCAAGCCCGGGTTTTGTAATTTTTGTCCCGGCCCCGGTTTATAGAAAAATATTTTTTTTTAAGTCCGGTCAATTTTGTTGTTTTTTTATCCCGACTTTGGTCAATTTAATGTTTAAATTAGGCAAATACTTGAAATTTTATCAAAGATATTTAAAAAATAATTGGGCAGAACGGAACTTATGATTTTTATTGTTATCTTTGCTTTATAAAAGCGTCTAACTTTTTTATAAAATAAAATAATACATTTAAATATGCCTGTATTGATAGATCAAATTTATAATTATAATATGAATTTAATTATCAAATTTTTGCATAATATTGCTAATTTTACATTTTAACATTAAATAATATTAATTTTTTTTTAATTTAAAAAATATATAAAGGGTATGCCACATTAATAGTTCTTTTATCTGTAGTCGTAACTAGCATTACATCTATGTCTATGTCCGCTATATGCACCAATGGTGAAGTCAAAGGAGGTAAAAAAAAATTTAATTCAACAAATTGGGTTAATGCAAAACCTGAAAGCTAACCCAACGACCAGGTTTGGGTTGAGTCTGGAAATTGTGATAATTTTTTACTTCGGGTTGGGTCTGTAAAATTTTTGTTTCAGGTGGATTGAGTCGGGTTTGGAAATATTGTTACAATTTGAAATCAATGGTATAAATAAATCATATTGATATTATTTTATAAATTTGTTAATTTTAGATTATTTATTACCAAAAAAAAATTTTGGCGTAAATTTTTCTTAGATTTTGACCGATCGGCTTGGGTTCGAGTTGGGTCGATTATTTTGCCCGGGTTGAGTTGGGAAAATGCTTTTCTCCCTACGGATCGGGTTGGATTGAAGTATTTTGGCTCTTCCAGATCTCTAAAATGTATCCCTCTCCTCTTCAAGAGTTTTTAATCACAAATCCGATCTAAACATTTTGGCCCAATCCCATATCACATAAAGCCGTTTCCGAGTTCTGTTGTTGTAACATTGACTTAACTTAAATTATCATATATCAAAATCTATCTCTAGCTATAGATTATAACGAAGTTTATATTATTATTGATTTATACGAAACTCTTCAAATCAAATTACACTTTATTTGTTTTTGACGCTCATTCTTCAAAAAATAAAACGAACATAGTTTGAACTCAGATTTGTGTGTCTGATAAATTACAAACTTACCAAAATAATTTGCGGTATAAAAAAATCTTCAAAAAAATACAATAAAAAAATCTATATATAAAAATTATTTTGTTGATTAAAAAAAAACACTGCTCTTACAATTTATGTCTTTTTTAAATCATTTATATATATTGTTTAAATCATCCTTTATTAGATTTATTGTTTAATAAATCAATAATGACAACCTAGCTTTAATAACTTAACATACAACATACATAATTATGTCTAAAAAATATTTAAATAAATATAATTAGCGAAAATTGGCGATATTAAAAAAGGAATATCAAATTAATTTGTTAGTTTTATAGATTCCTATCTTTGTTAGCAAAAACATGTAAACCTCCCACCCCCATGCATGATTAAAACTATATTGTTTTCGGATGTAGCAATGACGTGTTTAAGGGACCCGTTTTGAGGATGAAACAGGTCCCCCGAAGTAAAAAAAATCAAATGTTGCATTTTCCCATTTAATGACTAACAAAACTCTTTCACATTCATTTTATTTATAAATTCCATTTAAACATTATCCTTAACTCCAATTCTCACCAACACGTAAAAAATGATACATGATTTCCTCTGGTATGTAAAGTAATACCGAAACACTCATTTATATAAGCGTGTCCGTTTACAAGCGCCTGGCCAGGAATTTTCTTTTCATGGGGACAATTTTTTAAACATCGGAATTTTCATGAATTTATTAGGACTAGTGACTCAAAAAATGACTATTTATAAAGCCCAAATCTGCAAAATTATCAATTATAAATGTATGCACAAAATATGCTGTTATAAAATATATATCCTACTTAACTATTATGAATCACTATAAAATAAAAGTATGCTGTTAAATTGTATATTTATTTATAAGAATTATGATTAGTTAAATGCCCCAAATTGAATATATAAATTATATTTAAAAAATTCAAATGTTTTATGTAAAGATTAATTCACAAAAAAAATTCTATTTCATATCCTAAAACGAATTATTTGATTGGATTCATATTTTACGACTACGAATAATAAAAATATTCAATTCGAATATGAATATATTATTTTTTTATCCATTATTCAAAATTATTCGTATAATTTCATTTTTTCATATTATTCAAAATTTATGGCATAATATTCGGCATTATTCGTAAATATTCGAAACCATTCGTAAATAGTAAAACTTATTCATAAATAAAGTATTTAAAACTATTTGTAAGTATTTAACATGTTCCTTACAGAACTTTTTATTTTTTTTAACCTTATTTCTACATCTATAAATCACTTTTTAAATTGTATTAATCTAATTTTTCCAGAGTTTGAAAAAAATTTGTTGAGAAAAATATTTTTAAAGAAGAAAGATTTTTGATCAAATTTTACCTAAAATTCCAAATATGTTTAATAAAAAATCTTTTATAGGTAAATCTTTTATAAGTAAATCTTTTATAATTTTCATGGACAGTATATCTTTCAAGATGAAATCATAAATTAAAAAAAAATATTGTAAAATTCATTTAAAAAATTTTTTAAGATTTTCTAAAATTTTCGAATCGAATAATATTTTTATTATTAGTACGAATACAAATAAAGAATTATTCGATTCGAAAATACGAATCGAATATGAATTATGCAAATATTCGATTCATTTATAGGTATACATATATAAGCTGGAAAGATATTTATAGAAAAAAATATATGCATTCTCTCATGTGATTGAGCTTTTTCCAAAGATTTGACAGTATCATGTGTCAAATCCCTATCCATTATATACACGGGCTAACACATTCAATTTATTTTCAGAGGTACCATTTCCTGTATCCATTTTTATTCTTATAGGAAAAAATGCCATTTATTTGAGGAAATTCTAATGGATATAATGGTATAATAATTTTAATATATTTGGAAATAGCCTTTAGATATGTAAGGATTGCTTGATGAATCAAGAACATCTCATTTATTTGATTTATAAAATTATCCAAATGTAAAAAACCGATAAATTAATATTCTAGCTAAAAAATATTATCTAAAAGATTTCACCAAAAGTTGACAGAAAGTTTGGCCCTCTTTTGGCTAGATCTAGAGACTTATTAATCTGCAAAATCGAGGTTTTTTACACATTAAAAAATGGAGAATAAAAAGATTTATTTTATAATATTATTCTACTAATCTATAATAATATTTGAACGATAGGCGTGTCTTAGTGTTATTTAAGATATGTGGATATCAAAATTAAAAAACCTCTGCTTTAAACTCTTTGAACTGGACAATCACGTAATTTATGAAATTCCTCGTCAATATATAACTAATTTCTTTAGATTTTAAAATACTCTGCGATTTTTATGCCAATTTAAATCGATTTCATTTTTTTTGAAAGATATTGCATAAAATACTAGTATAATTAAGTTATTTATTGATATATTCGTATGTAAAAATTATCGCTTTCAATAAAGCTTTGCAGACAAGTTATTAGGCCAGTTCCCAATTTTACTAAGAACACCTCATAATAGGCACTTCTAACTTTAAAATCACCGATCACTTAATGAAGAAGGTTTTTTAAAATTTAATAATTTACATTTTTTGGTTTTCTGGCTTCGCACTTGTCCGTCTATGATCTTATTGTAACTATATAAATTCTCCATTAAATATAAAATAGTATAAAAAAATGTAGAGTAAAATCAAATATTCATTGATTTAATCGAACAATAATTGGGAGCTTAGAAGAAAAGGCTGAATAAGTGTGATATCGATCTCCAGAATGGCTATTATTGGCCAAATGTGGTTCTGATCCGCACTGAGGATTGCGACCCCTAGCCATTTTTCGACGGGTTCCGAAATAAATTCCTGGATACCACTGGGTTATAGCCAATTATTTCATAAGATATTATCGCCATATTAAAAGGACATGATATTTTACTTAAATATATACTAACAAAAGATATTCTATTCGTCAAAAATTAAGGTAAACTATTCATGTTTGAAATAATAATAAATTGTTAAAGGTGGCATTATAGATATAACTAAATGTTTGAGATGATATATTAATTTTTTATACTTTATATATAATTAATTATAACCAACAATTTAAAAAAACTCAATAGCATTCATCGTTTTAAAAGTTTTTAATATCAAAATCGAAGGTCCCTTTTTCAAATCCAAAACACGATCATTTATTTTTTTATTTAATACTTTGATAATACTTCCGTAAAATTTGAGCCAAATATTATGATATTTATATTTTTGTAAATTTTAACAATATCTTTTCGTGGATCAAAAATTTTTTAACCATAATTTTAAAAAAATTTTAAGAATTTTAGCAAATATTTGGCCTAGATAATGTATCATGTTTATGTTAAAAAAATTCTTTTAAATTGCAACCTACGACTATTTTTTTAATAAATAAATCAGTAAACTACAAATGTATAGACTATTTAAAAGCGGGACACTTAGAAGAAACAAATAATTATTCATCTAATAACATCGGACTAAATATTTATTTTGAAGAATTTAGAAGGGAAATTATTGATTTGACTCCTTGTTACTTGTTAAAAATGAGAATATTATTAGTTTAAGTGTATACCATTTACCGATTTTCATCTTTGTCTAATTATTTTGCCAATATCGCGTTAAATCTAATTGCAAATCGAGATTCTGTCGATTAATCTTATTTAATTTTAGGGAAAAAGTTTCATAGATGTTTAACATATTTGCTCCTTTTTTTTGTAAATACTAATAGTGATTATTGGGTAACTTGACTAGGCCTCGATTGAGTAATTCCTATCCTTAACTATTTAAAACATTTACATCCAGCACTTCTCTAAAGTAAAATATAAATTAGATCCCGTGATGCAAATTTACGCGAACTCAAAATTATTCTTAAATTGAAATAACTTTATTGAATATTTTTGACAGTAACTTTATGGACAATTTTTGATATAAAATTATCCATAAATTTTTATTGCGATAAAAAAAATTTTTTTTTAAAATAAACTTTAAAAAATTAATAAATAATCCACATGGTTATTATCTAAAAAATATCGATTTTTTTAAGGTGGAGCCTATTACATGATATCCAGAAGTCTCGGACCAGAGTTCGGGGGTGCAATAGGCGTAGTTTTTTCTATTGCTAGCACCGTAGCTGTATCGATGAACGTAGTAGGATTGGCGGAAACGGTTGTCGATCTCATATCGGTTTAAGTTTTTTAAAATATTCAAACATTTTTTTTCTTTCGATTTCAAGCGAATATGAGCAACTATCAATCCTTTGATTTTAAGTCCTATGGATTAAAATTAGAAAGATTTAATACTATAAAAAATATCTCTTTATTTGTTGGGTGAATATTTTTGATATAAGGTAGATAACGATGAGATGTGTGATGTATACTACTAATTTCGAATATTTAATTAATAATATACTATATTTAATTAATTTAATGTGTGATATTTAACTGAGGTTCGGGGTATCGAGTCTATAATTGTCTTGAAAATATTTTAAATTAAAAAAAAATTTTTTATACAGAAACACGGTCCTCATTTGTTGACCATAATTAGCGCAGAAAATTGGATAAGAATAGTTGGTTGCATTACAGCCATGCTCTTATTAATTATAGTAATCGCTGGGATGGAATGGGAATCTAAGGTAAAAATAGTATCTTATTTTTTCCTATTTCGCTCATGTAATTAGCATATTTCGCAGTTAGAAATGTATAAGATTTTATTTAATGATTGAGTCAAAAAAACAAAATAAAATATACATGTTTGGAAAATAAATTAATCAAATTCTCGGAAATTAAAAAATAATATTTAGGCATCAAATTTAAAAGATTTTTTAATATTTTTTTAATCAAAATAAATGAAGGCCCAAGTCGCTTTTTTGATTTTGTTGTTACTGGCTTTCCTAGACTACTTTTTAGGCACGGTTCTTCCTATTCCAAACGTCAAAAAGGCCAAAGGTCTTTTAGGATATCAAGGTAGATAATTTTTTTTTCGCTTATACGACTCGTGTTTAAAGTAGTTTTTTCTCTATTTTCGATTATGTCTCTTGTCTTATGTTTTCTTTTAAAAACATATGATTACGAGGTTTAATACCAATCTTATTATATTTTGGATCAATAGGCTGATACATGAGCCCTATTTACTTTACAGACATTATATTATCAGATTAACTAGGGGTGTACCGATACCACTTTTTGGAGGCCGATCCGATCCGATATTCCCGATAATAAATGGATATCGGCCGATTATCGATTCGATATCATATCTAATTTTGTATTCTATAAAGATACTAATGGTTTAATTTTAAATATGGGTGATTCCACGTCAAATTGACCAAAAAAACAAAATGAATGAAACTTGGCATGTTAGTTATTTATGTTGTAAATGTTAATAAAATCAAAATTATAGAGTGCTAGCTCAACCAGATCCAAAGATATACGCCTTTAAAGTCGAAAATCGTTTCATTATATCTTGTTTTTTTTAAAAAATACTTATCATAAAGTTACAAATTATATATCATTTTTTAGCCCTTAAAATTTTACGTTGTAAAATATTTAAAAAAAATCAAAATTTTCAAGTGTTTTCTTATTTCGGGTAAAAATAAAAAATTAACATTGTTAGGAAGGGATTTTTTTGGGTATTAATATTCACTAAAAATGTTTATTACCTTTATATTAAACGATTTAATAAAAAATCTCGATAGCCATTTTTGTTTTTTAATTTTAATTTAATTTTTTTTATTTTTATAAATAAAAAATGCAATATAGATGGCGTTATATAAACTTTTTTATAATATAATTTTTAATAAAAATATGAATAGTATTATGATTAAAATTAAAAAATTAATTGAATATAACCATGAATGATCTCCTGGAGCGATATGTAAGCAGACAGCCCATACAGATATTATTTTATTGAAGCGATATTGTAAAATAAACATTTTAAAATTTAATATTCAAACTATTATAATTTTGCGCTTATTAGTAGAAATTCCTAAGGCCATAATTTGTAGATATATCCTTTCATTGTTGTGGATCTACTATCTTTATTTTTTGAAAATAACGATTTTATCAGCTTATTTTATTTTTTTATTCCTATCATCGCTACCAATTAATCATCATATTTTTCAAAACTTAAACATTTTTTACAACCAAATGAATTTATGATAATTTGTGATATCTCTGAAAATTATGCATTTATAATCCAAGACACTGTTTAAGGATTCCACTGGAATAGTAATCAAGCCACTATTCATCCTATGATAGCATATTATAATAATAAGGGCAATATAGAAAACCTTAATTATATGGTAATATCAGAGTCACTTCAAAATAATGTTATTGCAGTACATTTATACCAGACTAAAATGATAAATTTTTTGATCAATCAATTCAGCAAAAAGCCAAACAAAATATATTACTGCTCTGACGGTGCTGCGCAATATAAAAACAGAAAATCTTTTATAAATCTGTGTTATCATGAATCAGATTTTGGTGTAGCCGCTGAATAACATTTTTCAGCTACATCCCATGGAAAAGGTCCATGTGACGGCCTTGACGTAACATTAAAAAGATTAGCAGCACATTCAAGCCTTCAGCGCATCAGTTCTGGACATTTTAACGCCAGGTTGATTTATATCAATTTGCAAAACAAATCATGCCATCAGTAAATTTTACATATATAACCAATGAGCAATACAATTTACAAGAGATTAAACTACGAGAAAGATTCAATTTAGCTCGTCCCATTCCAGGAACTCGGGAAATACATGCTGTATTTCCTTTGAGTTTAAGTAAACTTAAATCAAAAATATATTCATATGCAGAGGACTTTCAAATAACAATATCTCAAATGCCGATATTGTCTTTTGCCGATATTAAAGGATTCGTAACATGTGTTTATGACGATTCTTGGTGGTTAGCCACAGTACTAAGGAATGAAATTACTGAGGAGATATATATTTCCTTTTTACATCCCCACGGACCATCACCATCCTTCTTTTACCCCACAATTGTGGAAAAGATATGGTTACCCATTAATCAAATAATAACAGTAATAGATCCTATTACAGTGACAGGACGTACCTACAAATTATCGTCTTAAGAAATTCTATTAATAAGCACAAAATGGGATAAGATTACAAAAAAGAGGTATTTTTTATATTGTTTGTGTATAAAATTTTAAAATTGTTTATTTTGCAATATAGCGTCCTAATAATCATATCTATATCGACTGCCTGCTTACATATAGCCCCAGGACATCATTCTTGGTTATACTCAATTAATTTTTTAATTTTAATCATAAATTCATATTTGTATTAAAAATTATATTATAAAAAATTTAATATAACGCCATCTATATTGCATTTTTTATTTATAAAATTAAAAAAATTTAAATAAAATTAAAAAAACAAGAATGGCTATAGAGATTTTTTAATAAATCGTTTAATATAAAGGTAATAAACATTTTTAGTGAATATTAACACCCCAAAAAAATCCCTTCCTAACAATGTTAATTTCTTATTTTTACCGGAAATAAGAAAACACTTGAAATTTTTTTTTAATATTTTCCAACGTAAAATTTTAAGGGCTATAAAATGATAGATAATTTGTAACTCTATCTTAAGTATTTTTTAAAATAACAAGATTTAATGAAATCACACACTTCGCTATTTTCGACTTTGAAGGCGTTATAACTTTGGATCTGGTTTAGCTAGCACTCTAAAATTTTGATTTTATTAATTTACAACATAAATAACTAACATGCCGAGTTTCATTCATTTTTGAGATGGTCGATCGCTGGTCGATTTGTCATGGACCCATATACTTTTTATTAGTATAACATCTATAATTTAACTATACCATAAAATATGTCTTTTAAATATATTATAATGAACAGTTATTGTTTATATTCAATTCAATTACAATTCTAAAAGTATAAAATATTTTTATTGATAAATCACTTATTTATATAATAAGTAATAACATTAATCTATTTACATAATAAGTAATAAACAAATATACTATGAAATTTGAAATAAATATTTAAAATTCATATATCGAAGATTTCTTTTTAGAAATACCAAAATTTTCAATTATCAGAGGTCAATCTGCGGTATGAGGACTGTCAATATCACTAGCTTCACTAAAAACAGATTCTGAAGAGATTATTGCATACTTTTATAAACAGAATGCAAAAAAATAACAATATGGCAGAATGTTTATTAACTAATTATTATACTATTAAAAAAATAAATATAAAAATGGATTTCAATTTTGTTTATAAAAATAAATGGTTTTTTAGATATAACCTTTTTTAAAAATTTTATATTTTATTTTTGTTAAAAACGCCATTTTTATCAAATCGGAAAATTTTATAATATTTGCCGATAACCGATATTTTAACATGGTGAAATATCGGACCGATCCGATATAAAATATCGGCTCATCCCTAAGATTAACCAGATTTTATAAGTTGCATTTGCAGTTATAGTTTCTTCTTATTGAAAAAGGGTAAAGAATTTTAAATACAAGATGTCAGGCTGACTTCTTTAACACTCCAAAATATACAATGTTAAAAAAATAGGCAGCAAATTGATACAGCTTTTAAAATGCGGCAAAATTTTTTAGAATTTGAAAACGCTTTATTATTACTAATTTAAGGTCTAAGTTCTCAGGAATTTCAGGCATATTATTGAGAACGAAATTCAAAATTTCCATTAAAATTCTCGGGAAAATTTAATTAATTCCTAATATTTGAATATCGTTAGAAAAAGTTTCCAAGTACATTGAATAATTACAAAAAGATTGTCCATTTACCATTCACAATATTTTGATTTTTCTCAAGGAATTTTTATATTTGATTTTATTTGATATCCTTAAAAAATTTACTATATTTTAAACTGAACTATATCACAAAATTACATATATTTAGTTATATTTTCATAAATTTTGCAATAAATTGATTGGATATTGAAAAAAAGTTTCCAGGTTAATTACTGATAATGCTAGTAATATGAAGAAAGCTTGGAAGATAATTCAAGATTTAAACCCAAAAATGGCCTGTGCTGGCTGCCATCCCATGTATTAAATCTTCTTATTAAGGACGTTTTTAAAAATGTTCTTAAAACGAATTTTAAAGGAAAATCTATTGTTAAACATGTAGAGGTAATCAATTGAAATTTCCTACCCAAACGAGATGGGATGGGGCAGCCATTATATTAGAAAGGTTTTTATGAGACCTTGCAAGAAATTACCATTCATATTTTTGAAAGAAAAAAGGCATACTAATTCTGGATGACGATCTCTGGGTAGCCCTTGTAAATATTTTATTCCGATTTCTCAAATTTGCTATTAAAAAGTGATAAATCGAGCATATCTCAAGTAGAATTCATTTTCCATTATTTCTTAAAATAAATATGAATCTTTAAAATGATCAGATATTTATATATTACTGTGAGTGAAAAGACGGAAAGCGTTTTTCACGAATTATCATTTTGTGTCAAACATAGTTGAACCTTGTTTTAATGATTTTGGAAATCAATGATGAGATATATCATCTGGCATGGTTAGTCAAAGCCCTAATTGCAGAAACGATCTTGATGTCGGAGTTGTTAGCCAATCTTGCAGAATTTCGATCAAAGAGTGGTTTTTGGGAAAACATGGGGATATGGGAAAGTAACCTATATGGTGGAAAGGTCTTTGTGTGCACCAACCTATAAGTATAATTGCTATAAAACTAATATCGATTCCTCCGACGAATGCTGCTTCGGAAAGAATTCGGTCTTATTCTGGACGAACCTATTCCAAAATTGCAATAAACATGGCAATAAATTTTTAGCCAATTTGGGACATTTTTGTAAAGCTTTTTGAAATTCCCAGATATTCCCCGAAATTCCCGAGAATTTTACATTGGTATTCATTATTTTAGAATTGGATATTTTTAATCAATTCCAAAATTGCAATAAACATAGCAATAAATTTTTAGCCAATTTGGGACATTTTTGCAAAGCTTTTTGAAATGCCCAGATATTCCCCGAAATTCCCGAGAATTTTACATTGGTATTCATTATTTTAGAATTGGATATTTTTAATCAGTAAATATAAAATATAAAAATAACCAAGTAATATTCCATTTAAATTTGAATTTGTTAATATATAGGCTAAACAATATTATTTAAAAAAAATTGCGTTTAAAATTTTCAGAAGGCCTATACGAAAAAAATAATATTCATATTATAAATTATTTAATTAAATATTTTATTAACAAATTTAACCAGGTGGCTTATTAAAAGAAAACTTTTTCTCCGATTTTCATAAAGGCGCTTCCTTTTTCTCAATTTTTGCGATATACTTCCCGTCCGCTACTGGTATTTTAGCCGGAGCAAATATATCTGGGGACCTAAAGGTTTCATGATAATCATTTTTATAATGTACAGGGTTTCCTGTTGGAAAACTCATTCAAAAAATTAAATACGCTATTTATACTATCTTTTGTATATTAAACTAAAAATTATTTTCATGAGCTTTTTTTCATAACTCTTTTCATCTTTATTCTAGTTTTAAAGTATCCTAATTTTTCTTTAACTTATTTCTCAATTATGATTATTCTTTTTCTATAGAAAGATTACAAATAAAGGAAAAAGGTAATAAATATATTTTTTTAAATTTTTTATTTAATTAAACAACTTTTATGCCATCTATGAGATAAAGTGTTATATTATATTACTAATGAAAATTGATTTTTTCAAGGATAAAGGGCAATAAATTATTTGTTTTAAATTTCACGTCATCTATGAGATAAAATATTATATTTTACTAATCATGAAAATTAATTAAATAGTATATTATTCAATAATAGTTCATTGTTTTGTTTTGTTTCGTTTTTTTTATTTTACTTATGGTTAACCAAATTTGGTCCTACCTTAATTCCTCACTTTATTCCTATTTAAATTTTATCTTTTCAGGACGCTCAAAAAGCCATCCCCAAGGGAACTTTCACTGCAATCTTGATAACGGCAACCTCTTATATTTTCATGATTTGGACATTTGGGTCTGTTATGCTAAGGGACGCATCTGGAGATATGAAAGATCTATTCGACTCTAATAACTCGATTCCACTATCTACGGCTCAATTAATCAAACCCACTAGTCACCTTAGACTGTGCGGTAAGACAGGCAGTTGTAAATATGGACTTCTTAATGATTACCAGGTTTAAAAAGAAATAGTGGAACCTTTAAAAAGAAATATTTAATAATATTTTTGATATAATATGACTTTCCAGTTAGATCCGAATCTATAATCAATCTATTCTCACAAATGGCAGTTTTTAAAAAATGACTCTTTATAACTTTTCTTTAGTTTTTCTATATTATCGACTTTGAATGATCATTTTTATTTTATTTCTTCGGGTTATTTGAGAATTGGATCGATTACTAGCTATCTATGCTTCTTGAGTATAGTCTTTCGGATCGATCATGTTTGACACCATTAGGGCTATGATTGTAAAAGCACTTAAATAACATCAAAATTTTCGTCAATATATATATAAAATTAAATAATAAGGGGGTGGGGTCTTATCATTACATTCATAAACTAGAGATTACTTGGTTTTAGATGGATGTAACAAAACAATAAAAGAATTTAATTTTTATAAAATTTTTTTAAAAAAATGTACTCCCACACAAATTTTTAAAAGCTGTTGCTTCGGACCCCCCCCCCTCGTTGTAGGGGCCGCTGATTCTACAGGCGTCTTTCGACGTATGAACCTTTTAAAGTTGATTTTATCTAGTTTTTAATTAAGAACTACTTTCTGCGAAATCCGCGCAACAAGATAGGGTTTATCTTTAGCTACACACTTTTAAAACAAGTTATTTTATTAGGATAAAATAATAATGTTAAATAAAGGTAAGACAAATTATAATATTGATCGCATAATCGCAGCACACCAGGTAAATTATATTGTTTTCGCTTCAATTTATTAAAAATTTACGAAAAAGCGTTAATCAAAAAAACAATAATTCCAAGGGGTGTTTTTTTTTAGAATATTGTATGAATTAAGATATAACCTAAATGACACAACAATATATGAGTAAAATAAATAAATATAACTATTATCGCATATGTATTAGTCAGAAAGAAAAAATAATGGCCAACGATTAAAAAAAACTTTAATGTGGGTGTATTAATATATTAAAAATCAAATATATTGGGATTTCTCCAAAAAAATTAAGAAAGAACTAAGAATATAAGACACCTCCCCGCTCCGATGTTTGTATTTTATCTAAATTAACATGTGAAAAAAACGCAATCTTTATGGGTGGTTTTTAGATAAAATATTTTCGCTTATGTGTTGTTTGTCACAGAACAAATATATAATTGACAACGTAAAAACGTTAAGGGTATTAACATTTAAAAAAATTAGAACAGCCCCCAAAATAGAAAACTTGAAAGAACTAGGGCATGTGCTGATATTAAATATAGGATCGGATCTGTATTTTAAAAATATCGGCCGATTCGATATTTTATATTGTTTTTGTTTATTTTATGATTGTATATATATTAATGATTTGTATCGGGCCTAATTTTTCAAACCCGGCCCGAAATTGTTTTTAAAAAATTTATCCGGCAAGGCCCGATTCTGATCGAATTTTTTTATTTGTCCCGAAAAGCCCGACCCGAAATAAAAATTAATTTATCCACTCAACCCGGCCCGAATTTATTTAAATATAGAAAAATTTAATATTTTTTTGATTGTAAAAAAGATATTTTATAAATAAAAAATATTAGCGCCTTGTTTCTTCTAAGAATTTTAAAATATATCAATTTATTTGACAAAATGTAATAATCATATTTAAGAATTTAGACCCAGTCCGTCCCGAAATTTTTAAAAATATATTTAACCCAGCTCGAACCGAAATTATTTTTTTAATAGACCCAGCCCACCTGGCTATGATTTACAGATCTCAATAATCATATTTTTATTTTAGAATAATTTCATAATAATAAATTAATGAAAGGAGCTAAAATACGGGTAGGTCTATAAGTCGAAAGGCTGTATGATCTGAAAGGCTAAAAAATAATATTGAAAATAAAAATAACGAGAAAAATATTATAATAACATTACATTAAAAAATGGAAAATTTAAGATCTTTTCAATTTTTTTTTATTCTTTGATATAATTTGCGGTTTTATTATATTAAATTTTAAATAAAATTTTTAATTAAATTATATTTGATTATGATTTTATATGATTACAATTTAAAAAAAAAAATTATAATTATATTTTAATTCTATTTTTAAGTTTTTTTCAAAAATAAATTGATAAAGGTATAAAGATATTGTAAGTACTGAAGAAGTAAATGACATATAAATTCTATGATGTATTTTTTTTGGTTTTTAGTTCGAAAATTTTTTTTTATCGCGAAAATATTTAGGGGGAAAAGACTAAGATCTTAAATGTAATTTCGAATAATATTATATCATTGTACTCAGGGTTGGGCAGTATCGCGGATATCTTGTATCTTTTTTAAAATTTTGGAAAGTATCTTGTATCCAGTATCTAAGATACATATTATTTAAAAGTATTTGTATCTTAACCAACTTTGTATTCAAAAAGATACAGATACTTTAAAAAAAATTTATATTGGTTAATTTAAATAGTATTAAAATTTAAAATGATATTGTTTTAAGATTTAAATGAAAAATTTAATCAAAATTTAGATATTTTAAGATAATTATTGATATATGAAGTCCAACGTCATATAGCAATTTGCTAACAATTAGAACTACCATATTTGAATCGTTTTATATCTGTCTATTTTAATATAGAAGAAGAAAATAGAATAATATGTTTATCTTCGTCTTCAGATGATTCTTCAACCGAAAATTATAACAATAAATTTAAAAACTAAACAGACTTAATGGCAAATTTTTTGAAGTACTTCAAGATGATCATAATAAAGAAATTCATCGTGACTTTGGTATTGACGAAAAAGTTATAGCAACTGTTACAGATAACGGCTCTAACTTTAAGAAAGCTTTCAAGGAGTTTGGATATTCTGTGGAAGCTGTAGAGAATGACTTTGACATCAATGATGATGAATGTATAGAATTCGAAATCATTGAAAGTATTATTTAATACTTCTTTAAAATTTATTATGATATTTTAAATTTAGTAAAACAATTTTATTCAAATAAAATTATTTATTTGTTTATTTAAGGGTATAAAGAAGCCTCAATAACATTGCCTCAACACATTCGTTGTTTGTGCAATACGATAAGTCTAATTGCCACAACAGATGTCGAGAGAGCTATTATCCTAACATTTCTAAAATTCATCATCCTGCAATATCTAAATGTACTAAGCTATGGAATGCAAATAATAGGCCTAAAACTGCAGAACTTATCAAAGCAGTTTTAGGAAAACAATTAGTTACACCTTGTTGCACTAGTTGGAATAGTTTGTATGATAGTCTTCATAGTTTATTAAAATTTAAAGGCGAACTTCCTAAATTATGTCAAAAATTAGAATTTCCTAAATTAAGAGATATTGAAATTCAATATTTAGAAGAATATTGCAATATAATGGCCCCATTGGCTATAGCGATTGACAAAATACAGAGTGAAATCAACTGCTATTATGGAGAATCAGTTTCAATATTAAATGTCGTTAAAAAATTACAAATTTAATTCAAACTGATCTACATTTTTGCAAACCATTAGCTATTGCCGTAGAAAATTCTTTAAATAAGATTTAAAAATATATATGATTTTGATAATAACTGTGCATTTTTGGCAACTATATCTCATCCCTATTTTAAAAATCGTTGGATTGATGGTGAAAAAGAAAAAAAATACCTTCAGGATTTGTTAATACATGAAGCTTTAATTATTTTTAAAAATAATATTGAAATTAATACGTCAACAAAATCTTTAATTGATGAAGATGATGATTACTTTTGTTTTAAAAGTACCACATCCAATTCTAATAATTCAATAAATGATATTGAATTAGAGGTCCTAAATTATATGAAAGATGACAGGTGGAGTATAAATATGTTAAATAGTTATAAATATATAAAAGAAATATTTATTAAATATAACACATTATTATCCTCCTCAGCCCCCGTTGAAAGATTATTTAGCTTTGCTAATATGGATAATAAACCAAATCTTCTAAAGATTGAATGAAAAATTAATAATATTAAAAAATAATACTGATTTATTGTTATTTACTAATTATATAATTATTAAATGGAATATCGCATTATCTTTTATAATAAATTTGTTATTTTCTACAATTTATTTTAAATATTTTTTTATAAATTTATATTATAGATAAGAAAATAAAGCTTTATATATTTTGATTTTGACTATTTAAAGTTTTTTTAAAAAGTATCTTGTAGATACTTTTTTTTAAAAAAAATACAAGTATCTTGTATCTTATATCTTATTGAAACTTTTCTAAAGTATCTTGTATCTTAAATACAAAATTTTATAAAGTATCTGTATCCGAATACAATTTTCTGATTTGCGTACTCAGAATTAAATTTCCTATCTAAAAATGCCTAGATGTAGATGTATTTTTTATGTTTTCGGTTCGAAAAATATTTTTTTTGTCGCGAAAACATACAGGAGGAAAAGTCTAAGATCTTAAATGTAATTTCAAATATTATTATATAAATGTACTCAGAATTAAATCTTATCTAAAAACGCTTAGATATATTTTTTTACGTTTCCGGTTTGAAATTTTTTTTTTTGTCATGAATACATTCAGAGGGAAAAGGCTAACATCTTAAGCTTAATTTCATACTCAGAATTAAATTTCCTATCTAAAACTGGTTAGAATTTTACGTTTCCAGTTCGAAAAATATTTGAATACAATGATATAATAATATTCGAAATTACGTAAAAGATCTTAGCCTTTTCCCTCAGAATGTTTTCGCGACAAAAAAAATTTTCGAACCTAAAACCAAAAAAAATACATCATAAAATTTATATTTGTCATTTACTTCTTAATCCAGTATTTACAATATCTTTATGCTTACTATCAATTTAGTTTTGAAAAAAACTTAAATAGAATAAAATTATAAATTTAAAAATTTTATTTTTAAAAAATTACATTCATATAAAATCATAATCAAATATAATTTAATTAAAAATTTAATATAAAAATTAATATCTTCTCCGTTTTATGGCGATTTCCAGGTTTACCCTGGTAGGCCAGTTTTCCCTCTGATTTTTATTTTCCATTTTTGACGGTCCTGAGCATCAATACTTGTAAGATTCAAGCTTCTCATATCCGCCGCTATCACATTTGTCCACGTCATCTTGGGTCTTCCTCTAGGTCTTGATCCTCCTACTTCCATCATTGTGCATCTCTTTACCCAGTCATCTCTTGTCATACGTTCCACATGCCCAAACCATCTTAGTCTATTTCGTCGCATTACCATACCAATCATTTCTATACCTAATCTTGCTCGCAATTCCTTGCTAGTTTTTCTCTCTCTCAGAGATACCCCACACATCCATCTAACCATCCTCATCTCTGTTCTTTCTAATTTGGCTTCGTGAATTGCTTTCATTGCCCATGTTTCACCGCCATAAACTAAACAACTCCTCACACAGCTTACGTAAACTTTCCCCTTTAACTTCAGAGAAACTTTTTTATTTGTAAGAATAAACGACATCTCTCTGAACTTCTTCCAAGCTTGTCTGATCCTTGCAACAACAGCAGAATCTACACCACCATCTGCGTTTAGCATATCACCTAAATAACAAAACTTATCCACTTTTTCTAGGGTTAACCCATTGCCAATATCCAGACCACCATTTTTTAGGTTATCATTATTATGTATCCCTTTCATGCATGTTTTACAAATAAAGGTCATTCTTTCTAACATCAAACTGCCTTTTTTCCCGCTACATCTTTTATGTACCCATTTCTGGCATCTGGTGCATTGGATAGAATTTCTAGCAACTCCTTTCCCACATACACCACAAGGCCACTTACCTGATTCTTCTATCTTTAGATTTTCCCCACCAATCATCACCTTTGTTTTTGATGCATTCATTTGCAGGCTCTTTGCTTCCATAGTCATCTTCCATTTACTAACTTTATCCCTCAATTCTCCCTCACTGTTTGCCATTAATACAAGGTCATCTGCATATAATATCTCCCAGGGAAGTCCTTCACGCATTTCTCTAGCCACCACATCCATTACTAAGATAAATAATAATGGACTCAGCACGGATCCTTGATGAAGTCCTACCTTCACCTCAAAGCTGTCACTATCACCATAATCCGTCCGTAATGCTGTTTGTGCTCCAACATACATTGCCATCACTGCGGTAACTAACCATTCCTCCACACCGGATTTTCTCAAGGCCCATCTTGTAATCTCACGCGGCACCCTATCAAATGCTTTCTCCAAATTAACAAACGCATAATAGAGTTTTTTTTCCTTCCCAAGATACTTCTCCTGAATTTGTCTCACCACAAAAATTGCATCTGTCGTGCCTTTTCCCGATGTAAAACCAAACTGCATTTCATCAATTTTGATTTGTTCCCTTATCCGCTTTTCTAACACTCTCTCAAATACTTTCATTGCATGTTCCAAGAGTTTAATAGCTCTGTAAGACCCACAATCTAAAGGATCACCTTTCCCCTTGTATACTGGGATAATTATACTTCTTCGCCAGTCCTCGGGAATAGTACCTTCTGTGACAATCTGATTTGCTAAATTCATTAACCATTCAATCCCTAAATCATCAGAACCTTTAAACATCTCTGATACCACCATCGTTAAACCCGATGCCTTCCCTTTCTTCATCTTTTTCACTGCTCTCTTTATCTCGTCCTTGCCAAATTTACACCCTGGACCTTCTACCTTTGCACAACTAATATTATTATTCCATTCATTTTCTTCATTCAAAAGTCCTTTCATGTAAATCTTCCAGGTGTTCTTAATACCACTACTATCAATCGTCATTTTTCCTTCCATATTTTTCAAACACTTTACACCTATCACATCCTGCCTCTTTTTTGACATCTGTTTTGCCATTCTAACCATATTTCCAATTCCATCAGCACATTCCATTTCTTTAGCAAACTCGTGTCTTTTTTCTTCTTCCTTCGCTATTAATTATTTCTTTTAGCCATCTTGTAAATATCATTATCACTATTTTCTTTGCTATTATACCATACTTTGAAACACCTCCGTTTCTCATCCACGGCTTTCGCTACCTCCGGGCTCCACCACCAAGTCTCCTTATGTCTAGGCGGCCCTTTTGTCCATCCACATACCTCCTCAGTTGTCATTACCCAAGCTTTCTTCATGGCTTCCCACTTGTCATTCACCCCAGATGCTTGTGCCACCTCCGCCTCCCTAATCGCCAATGCCATATTGAATTGACGTCTAGCATTCTCTTCCTTCAATTTCCAAACCTTCAGCCTTGGGACAAACTTTCTTTTAGTGACCCTGGCACCTTTAAAGTGAGATCTCCTACAACTAGTCGATGCTGATTTATACATTCCTCTCCCGGTATCACTTTCACATTTTTTATTATACATCGATCACATCTCCTTAATAACAAGTAATCCACAACACTTTTGGTACTACCCGACTTATAAGTCACCAGCTTCTCTGATTCTTTCTTAAACATTGTATTACAAACAATCATATCCATAGCATCACTAAATTCTAAAATCCTCTCTCCTTCCAAATTTCTCATGCCGTAACTGAACCCTCCATGTACTCCTTCATAACCCTCACTACTCGCTCCCACATGTCCATTCAGATCGCCAGCCAGGATAATCACCTCTTCATTTGCCAGTCTCGATGTCACCCCCAATAGACTGTCCCAAAATACATCTTTCTCTTCTTCACTTCTTCCAACCTGAGGAACATATGCCGAGATCATATTATATAGCTTTCTACCAATAATCATCTTGATAACCATTATCTGGTTGTCTAGCCTTCTCACTTCGACTACTTTGTCTACCAATTTCTCCGCAACCAATACCCCAACTCCAGCCTTACCATCATTACCTCCTTGCCAAAAGAATTTATACTTTTCGCTAGTCTTGCCAATCATTCTGGTCCCATTTCCTTTCCATCTAGTCTCCTGTATGCAGCACACATCTATATGTCTTCTGTGCAATACATCGACGACTTCTCCCGCTCTTCCCGTCATACTCCCAACATTCCATGTCGCGACCCTAACTCGATCTCCCGTAAACTGGTTTCTCCACTTTTTATCAGGTCGTTTATGACCGTCATAGGTTTCATTTTCATGAATAGTGATTCCACCAGGTTTCCCATCCTTCTTTTTGTCGTAGGCGGATGAGGAGGCCCACGGGGTACTTTGGGCTGTACCCCGCCCATGCTTTGTTGTAACCATAGGGAAATTTTTGTAGCAAGGTTTTTACAATCGGATGCCCTTCCTGACATCAACCTCTTTAAGTGGTTTTTACACCCCGTCGAGGAGACGGTGATCCTATTCTAGACCCAGATCACAGGGAACCTTTTAGACCTCCATTTGCCGCCAAAAGACGTTGCCACTCCCCCGCCACGATGAGGCTGAAGGTAGGATTTTGGGAGAGAATATAAAAATTAATATAACAAAATTAAATTAAAACCGCAAATTATATCAAAGAATAAATAAAAAATTTAAAAAATCTTAAAATTTCTATTTTTTTAATATATTATAATGTAATGTTATTATAATATTTTTTTCTTAAAGATCAAATTTCTCATTAATCATTTTCTTTGTTTTTATTTTTAATATTATTTTTTAGCCTTTCCTATCATGCAGCCTTTCGACTTATACGCTAATACAATTTATTTGTAAAAAATAGTTCAAAATTTTACACTATTTTTTGTTATATTATTTGCAACAAGAAAAGGATTTTTAAATATCTAATGAGTTACATTCAGTTAGTATTGTTAAACGATTCGATTTAACCAATTTTTAAAACGTTTAACTTGAGATTTTGGTTAAAAGATTACTCCAACTTATTGATTTTTCCCACAGATGGCATAAAAGTTTGAACCTATATTGGCGAAATTTCGAGGCTTTAATAATATTTTTGCGAAAATCTTGATTTAACATTTTTAAAAATTGGTTAAATGGAGCTGAAACAGCACTACATTCACCCATAAACATTGCATATATTTTAAATGAGATTTTGGAAAAAAAAACACTTAATCATTCGTGATGGTTAGTTGGTTTTTTTAAAATAAAAAATATGGATATTTTTATGACATTGATACAAAGATAGATGGTAAATAAAAATCAATATAAATATCAGATCGATTTTTTAGTAATATCAGATCGGATAGGTGAATAATTTGTGGATCGGCACAGTCTTAGAAAAACTACAAAAAATAAAAGTTATTAATATAACAAAAAATGGTATAATCGCCTATAATTTTATCTTCAAAGGCTGCTGAAATGATTTCATATGTTGGGCCCATAATAACAGCTGGCATATTTTCCGCTACTCTCTCATCGGCTCTTGCGTGTTTAGTGGGAGCGTCGAAAGTTTTTCAGGTATTTTAATAAAATATGCACAATCTTCTATCCTTATTTCTTATATTTTATAAGGCATGTTTGCTATTTACACCGAGATCATTATCATTAAAATATTGAGAAAGAGGATGAAAGTGATTATTTATCTTCTTTACAACTTCAAATAAAATAAATATTCCAAAATTTAAAATTTTTTTAGCAATCTTTATTTAGGTTACGTGGTTTAAAAATAATTTTTAAGGGTTCATTTGATCATATTTTATTGTAGATAAAATTAAATACCAATAAATAATTTTGATAGCTTAATTAAATATTATATTGCTTAATAAATAATAATCAAATTAAACAAGTTTGGTTTGTTTTAACCGCGTGTCAACTTTTTGTATAAAAAGGGGGGACAATTTGTTAAACGTGTTTTTTGTTAAATCCCTGAATGGGTTTTAAATCAAATTCTGGAATGTTATTTTAGGAGTTAACTTTATAATATAGGTAAAATGTTTAATATGCAACATATATTTGAAAAAATAAATAAAATAATACGATGGTATGCATCAGGCACTATGCAGGGACAAAATATTTCCCAAAATACACGTTTTAGCTGTCGGCTCCAAAAAGAACGATGACCCGTATCGTATTTACATACTTTCTTTCGCAATAGCGGTCCTTTTCATTTTAATAGGTTTATTTTTGGGCTATAAATTAGAATAAATCATATGTTAATTCAAGTTAGTATAATAAATGGGATAATTTCACATATCACAGTATAATTCATACAACATTCATTTAATTATACAATCATGATAATTTATAAGGCAGGATATAAAATATTATAGTAGAAGTTTCTACATTGAAAACATTACCCGACTATATACACACATATATATCATTATATCAATATTATCTATATATATATATTATAATGCATATATTCTAAATTACTACATTTCCCTAATAGAAAGGAAGCCTTTATCTCCTAAAGGCATCCACGACTTAAAGTAAAAATCTTTGTCTTTGGTTTCCATCTACCTTTACCCTTTTATAACATCCACTCCTCTCCCCCCAATCAAAATTTTGATCTCTCAAAAGGGCATCAATATTAGCTGCCGTTGGACGATTGATCTCGTCTAGAGTATCAAAATCATTTCCATTGTTAATTCATTCTCCCACCGGAGCATCAATATCGACGGACCCCCCCCCCCCCAGAGTACCAATATCGATTCCATTGCTGATTAATCTCTCACCGGAATATCAATATCCAGATATCCCACCGGAGTAATCTTATCGATTCCATTGTATGCTTGATCTCTCACAGGAATATCGTTATCGAGTCCATTGTAGATTGGGAGGGCACCGTTATCCTAGATCTGGCCAAGAGATTTCTATCATACTTGGATGGCCCATGAGATAATCCATATCCATATATCACACAAGACATAATTAGTCTTTAACCCATATACGGCTACATCTGGCTCACGGAGACCCCATTAGTTTTTGCATAGGTCATGTGATTTGAGAGCCCAACGTTTTTATATCTTTATGTCATAGTTCAATAATCATAATCCATAAACTCAGTCTCTATGTAATGTTTACTTTATCATTAATAAACCCATGTTTTCCCATATTCAGTAAAAATTTGATAAACTCAATTTGTTTCAATTGTTAACCAATTTCCCAAAAATCACCATATATCCATCAATCTATTTTTTTTGTCAGCAATTTTAATAATTCATTACTTTGTTCATGTTAAATCAGATATAATTGTTCAATTTCATAATTATCTCAATATTTCGATATCAGATTTCATGATTATTATTCATATATACCATTACTATATTTCCCAAATTAAGTTCATTTTCATATATAATTTTATCTTTATCCATAATTTAATTTCATAAATATCCAATACATTCATATTGCTCAAACAAACATCACATTTACAAAATAGTTCACACTTACCATGGCATTTTCCAATCATTCCCCATAATGTATTTCATAAAATATCCAATATATTATTACAGGTTCTTTGTCTTGTCATCGCCAATATAATAAATTGGATGATTTCACATATAACATAGTATAATTCATACAACATTCATTTATTTTTACAACCATGATTATTCATCAGGCAGGATATAAAATATTATATATGAAGTTTCTACATTGCAATAATAATGTTCGGCAGTTAAACATTACCCGACATTTTTATATATGTATTTTGATGCAATTATACATATAATTTCTACGTTAATACAGTTAGCACATTAAATCATTTCTAGCTCATATCATTCAGGCGTGCCTGTGGCATATTTAAAGGGCTTTTTGAGGATGAGACAGGCTTCTAAGCAAAAAATAATGCCGATGATGAAAAAAAATATGTAATTTCTGCGAGTTTCATTTAAATTAACAACATTTTACATTTTATTTATCTATCATTTTTAATTTTTTTTATTCTCTTTAATAATTAAAACATTGGTTCATTATTTATTCCAGTTTATGAACTAAGTTCACACATTTTTATACCGGGTCAAGCCGGGATTTTGCTAAGGGGAGGGGGGGGGCATTATTGGATAAAAATTTTGAATTACAATCGTTATTATTAAAAATGATTAACTTTTACTAATTTTTCTTTCAATTTCTTTCTTTATAGTGATATATTGTATATATTTGTGGAAGATAGAAGGATGAATGGAGAGAAAATGTTTATTAGCTTAGAATATTATTTTCGAGAACAAGCAAATTTTCCATGGGGAGAATCCCCCCTGGTTACGCATGTGGGGATCACTCATTTATTTAAGAGTCTCCTTATTTTAGACACCCTAAAAAATATCCTGAAGGAAAGGTAAAATATATAAAAATATGGACTGAAATCAAATTCAAATGTTCTTCACGAGCCCTCTAATTTTTAGATACAAACCTTTGCAAACAATTTAAAAGTAGGTGGTTAATAGGATTCCCGTGGCTTTTTTATTCTGCAAAATATTGAAATTTGGTGTTAAGTAATTACACCAACAACCTCAATAGTCAAAACTAGGACTGTGCCGATATTAATTATCGGATCGGATCGGCACCGATATTTAACGCTTTCCAAAACGGATCGGGCCATACCTGTAAAAATCCGATCCGATCTTTTTACTTTTCTTTTTTTGTTTATGTATATTTATTTTACATTAATAATACTTTCTAAATAATTTTATATAGATTTATAGTATTTTAAAAGTTTTTTATAAAAATAGAATGGAACACACAAATTTTAATTATTTTTAATCATTTTAAATAATAAAGCTAATTTTATTATTTATACTTTAAATAAAAGAATTTTTTTAAAATATGGTATCTGAATTATGGAAATATTTTACAAAAGACAAAGATAATTTTGCAAAAATCGTTATCTGCTTAATTCTAATTTCACGGGGAGGAATACCTACAAAAATACGAATCGAATCGACTAATGGAATTATTCGTATTCGTTTAAATCAAATAATTCATTATTCGTATTCGTACGAATAATAAAATGGTTATTCGATTCGTCGAATATTCGATTCAATTCGAAAGTTTTATTTAACCGTAAATTAAAAAAGATAGCATATTAAATTTATTTTGTAAAATTTAACTATGAAGACAAACAAATTTTATTAGTAAGATAATAAAGATACATATATAGTATAATTATACATCGCCGGGGTGGCCTAATGGGTAAGATGTAGGCTTTGGAAACACGAGTATGAACAAGGACGCGGGTTCAATCCTGGTAAAAACCATAAAAACTTTCAAGTTTTTCTTCGATGACTGATGTGTAAAGACATATGGTATGATGAATTTCGGAGCTTAGAGATGACACCCCGGTCACCGACAGGCCTGGACAGCCGGGTGCTAAGGATACCTGTCCAATAAACAAAATGAAGAAAACAAATGGAAATATGAATATGAAAGATAGGGCGTTCCCTCCAATGAAGATAAAACTCTGCATTGGTCAATCAATACTACACATCCTATCAGTGGGGAAATCTCAAAGCTCAAATGCCACTCGGGAGAAATGGAGGAGACGTACGAAACTTGGAAGCCCGACCTGCCAATCCACCACATGGGCGCAAATCTAAAAGGGACAGGAATGCACAGATGACCTACTTGCGAGATTCAGATGCAAACGAGTTCGGAAACAATAAATTGCTCACAAGTAATCCAGTCGAAAAAGATCTGGACCAGCACCTGGGGCTTCATGCCAGAGCCTTGCAATCAGACACTGACAATAAATCGACAGCTAGGCTTAGACAAGAGGAGGCAACAAATCACACAAAGAACTATGGTGGTGGAATCAAGAGGTACAAACCACTATACAGGAGAAAAAACCCTTTATCTTCAAAAATAAAGGGGATCCACACAATTGTCAAAATTACAGGGGCATAAAACTAATGTCACACTGTCTAAAACTATACGAAAAAATAATAGAAAAAAGATTAAGAGATATAATCGAAATAGGAGAGACACAGTTTGGCTTTATGCCTGGAAGATCAACAACCGATGCTATCCATGCAATTAGGCAAATGAGTGAAAAATACAGGGAAAAGAACAAAAAGCTACACATGGTCTTTCTCGATCTAGAAAAGGCCTTCGATAGAATCCCAAGAAAACTTATCTGGTGGGCGCTACGCCACAAAAAAGTTCCCGAAAAATATATAAGAATAATACATATGTATATGGGACATACAACAATGGTCCGAACGCACGGATTAAAAGTAAATAGAGAAAAGACGGAGTATATGGTGATAGGAGGAGATGAAACGGAGAGTATTGATATAAATGATTGGCAAGATATCCGCAATTGAAGCTGCAAATATTTATACAAACAAACGGTACAATAGAAAAAGAGATAAAGAATAAGATTAATCAAGGGTGGTTAAAGTGGAGATCTTTATCTGGAGTGCTATTTGACAAAAGAATCCCACACAAATTAAAGGGAAAGATCTACAGTTCCATAGTACCAACTATTCTATATAGTTCGGAAACATGGCCAACCAAAGAATCAGGCGAGAGAAGTCTACAAACTATGGAGATGAGAATGCTGAGGATGATTGCTGGGGTAACAAGAAAGGATAAGGTGCGCAATACAAGAATACTAAATAGTTTAAAGGTAGTGCCCATTAAGACTAAGTTAATGGTAAACAGACTTAGGTGGTATGGGCACACAATGAGAAGGCCTATGAACTACATAGGAAATAAAGTTGAAAGTTTGGAAGTGATGGGCAAACGTAAAAGAGGAAGGCCAAAACTTCAATGGCATAAAGTTAGAGCCAATATAAAGAAGTATAAAATAGATAAAAGAGATTGTATGAATAACATAAAGTGGAGAGAGATGTTGAAGGAGCTTACCACCAGAAAAAGTGAAAGCTAAAGAGAAAAAAAAAATATATAGTATAATTATATATAATGTAGAAAAATCAATATAATATTCATATCATTTATAAGACAAATATACCAACAACAAATTTTTTAAACACAAAGTTTTTGCAAAAAGTCAAATTTATGATTTCTCCATCATCAAACAAAGGAGAAAATATCTGGTTCACCCGTCATTCTTGACGGGATAGCTACTAGTTATTTATAATTGTATATGTGTTATAAATTACATAATAAATAAATACTTTCTTCGTCCATCATAAAACAATTCGGAAGTTAATTTTTAATTATGAATTATTCGAATAAAAACAGCCGTTAACAATATTTCGAAATAATAAATTTTTCTTCATTATTCCACTAGGAAATTTTATTTAATAGGAATAATTGCAAATAATTCCTACTAATAATATACGATTATTTTTCGATATTTATTAATATAAATTATTTTAATCGAATAATCTCGAATAATTCGATCGAATAATAGATAAAAAATTATTCGACGAATAATATATTTTCCTTATTCGAATTTTCTAATCGAATAATTTTGTTATTCATATTCGTGAAATTCGAATCGAATATCGAATAACAAATAATTCGTTTTAGGTATAGGGAGGAATAATGAAAAAATTATTTAATACTACCAATATCCTTAAACTTTTTAAAATTATTGTATAAATAAAAAAATTAAATTAAATGCATAATTCTATGTTTTGCATTAAAAATATTGATTTCTTAATTACATTTGGTTCAAAGGGAGGTGGTGAGAAATCAATATAAATATCGGATTGATATCTGATCGGGTTTGAGCCAATATCGGATCGGATTGGTGAAAATATGTATGCAAATGGTACCTCTGTAGGGCTCTGTGATTCTTCTTAAAAAAGAGAATGTTCTCTCATTAGTTTACTAATGGGAAGAGTTGCTAATATATATATAACCATTTTAATACATTGGGAATATAATCTAAAATGTGTTTGAAATGATGCAAAGCATCCATAGCATTTTTTGGGATTGTGTCAACCATACTTAATCTTTTAATTATAGTTATTCAGCTAATAAGGCATTATAAGATATTTTAACATCTTCATGATAAAAATCTAACAAATATTTATTTTTTTCCTATCACCATCTGAAAAAGGTTGGAAAGGCTTTTGTGGAAGTAATATCTGCGGATTTGTAAGTGCTGCATGATGAATTAAAAGGGCATTTGTTTTATAATACTCTTCTATTGATCCTATATTAATGTTTTGACAATGAGCTTGCTTGCTGCAAGTAGAGGAGAACAAATATTAAACATATATAGCTCGCTTTTGACTCAACAATCACATATAAAATATGAAATTCTTTATCAACATTAACTCTAATTTGCTTGAGTTCTAATAAAATGCTCTCCGCTATTCTCATCTTCTTAATCAAGTCAATGCCATGTTTTTGAAAAGTATTACATAAAATAGTTGTATAATTAAATAATACATTCTAATGAGAAAAAAAATTTGGAATAAGTAATGAATCCAATAATTTTCTTGCTCCTGAGGAAATATTTATTTCAGGCCACTGTGATATTTCAGTAATAGCATTAATAATCAGATCTTCTAACTCCATAAAAGCTGTTACTGCTTGATGGCGGAGACTCGATCTCGTTGGACAATGCAATTTCTTTCTCCCTGTTGGACAAGGAGTTTCAGAGTTGACTAGAAATTTAGATAAATATTACGCCACTAATATTTGAAAATAATTGGTAAATTACGCCAAGGAAAACTTGAAATCGAAATTAATTGATAAAATAACTTAGTAGATGAATGTGATAATTAAATATATATATGAGATAGGAATAAATATTAACAAATATAAATTAATTTTAACAATAATATTTTTGAAAAATATAATCCGGCATCTACATTTGGGGGGGGGGGATTTGTCCCCCTTGCCCCCCCCCTCTGCGTACGCGCCTGAATATAATGTATGTATACTATCATCTTGAAGATTGAGCCGACGTTAGCATCAATAAAATATAGACTCGGCTTTTGTCCCGAAAAATATTGATGTTATATTTTCTTCCATTCTTTCTTTTTTGCTATATTAAAAAAAAGTTTTTAAAAAAATCAGGATATGGGAAATTTTCATGTCATATTTTATTTTGTAATAAAATATTAAATAATCAACGTGATTGATGAATATTTAAATACAATGCTGAAAATTATATAGAGAATAAAATAAATATTTTGAAGTTTGAGATTTCTTCATTACATGCTATTTTAAAAATTCACCAGACCTCGGATTGACTCAGGTAACAAAGAAAAAGTTAATTTTGCAGGTTTCTGATGTATGTTAGCTAATTATTTCAGAATAGATAGGGCATAGCTCTATGCTATAAATTAAATTTTTAGTAAAACCTTTTACCATTAGTACTGACGAAAACAACCTATATTTTAAAAAATGGGCAAATATCAATTGCTATAGGTTATTGATATAGACCTCAGATCAAGGAAATAATTTTCCCTAGTTCATATCTTTGCATTATCAAAAAACAATTGCTAATCACATGTTAATATTTATTTATCGAATCCTTACCTAAATTCAATAAGGGTAAGGATATGATGGTGCCTGAGCGGCCACATGAAAGAGTGTAATAAAAAAAGCGCCCTTTATAAAACCACTCTTTATGTGGGCCTCACAAGGAACTGTTACCTAACTAGTAAGTACTAACTATTGGAGGCCTGACAAGTGAGGTATATGCGCAATTCTTGTATATTTTAATTTTATTTAAAAAAATTAATATAATTTTCAATTTATATGCCTTTGTATTTTATATTTTTATTTCATAAGAACAATATTAGCTATCAATTTGCAACTCCCTAAAAACTTCAGGTACTGAAAATGCAATTGCACAGCTTAAAAATAATAAGGTTAAAGATTTATATCTAGCGAGATTTATTATAGGCAATAAACTATGGCAAAATTTCTTGATTTTTATAACTTAATCTTCGCCGCCTTTGATGGCCCAAAATTAAAAGGTGAAAATGATTGCAGATTCCCTGCTAAATTTTATCAAAATTTATTAAACCAAAATCTGGATTTTAAGCTCAATGCGATGTCAAATTTTGGTACAAGAGTTTACGACGTCTTGATATTAAACCGGCCAAAAAATTTAATAGAAACTCTTAATACGTTTAATTTTATCTTAAAATTATTTTCTTATATAAAAAACATATTTTATATTTTTCTAATTAGCCCCTTTGCCAATTAAAAGCCACCTTTACCTTAAAACGGTTCAAAACATATTTAAGATATAGTATCACGCAATATATTTGCTTTATTTTGGTAACTTTGATTAGTGTCACAAGGATTTGGGCGAAGACTATTAGCTGCTTTTGAACGGAGTCCAAAATGAACTCCTGCATACGCCACTGAGGCGCGTGCTCATATTAAATATAGGCGAACAGTTTTACTTGTCCCTAAAAGACGCTGATATAATGTTATCAATTGCGCAAATATGGTAACATAACTATTTTTTAGTATAATTTATCAAATAAATCAATTGAATATTTTCTCTCATTTATATTATAGGTGACCTCAATATAATCGCTCCTATCATATCAAACTTTTACTTGATGGCCTACGCTCTCATAAATTATTCGTGCTTCGATGCTTCTTTATCGAATTCGTTAGGTTGGTGTTTCCCATATATATTATATAAAATTATCATGATTTTTTTTACGTCAATAGGTATTTACTACAAAAAGTCTCGCTCCAAATATATTAGGCTGGCTCAGTAGGCATCTTGAACTCTTTCATAAAAATAAATTGTAAATCTCAATATTACATTAGTTTTCTAATGACCGCTAAACCTCAATAATACCACTGAATTATCCTTCTTTACGGACACATGTTAAGAAAATTTATTTCTTTCTAGGATATTTTGTAAAATTATTTAGATATTTTTTGGGAGGGGGAAGGGGTTCAAAATGGAAACTACTTTATCTAGATATGTCTAAAATTTTTATAATGATTTTATTGTTATGCAATTAGTCATCAAATTTAAATTTATTTTATTTTTTTAAATCAGGCTTTAGGCCCGGATTTAAGTACTTTAACCCCTGGGTCAGTTTGATTGGCGGCTTTCTGTGTGTTATCTCAATGTTTTTGATCAAGTGGTGGGCTACCGTTATAACCTTCGTATTCATCATCGTTTTGTATGGTTATATTCGTTACAAAAAACCTGGTATAAATTTACTTGAAATTTGTTTATAAAATAGCTTGATTTTGAAGATTATATACAAAAGTATATACTTTGAACCCCGCCATATGCAAATATAGAGCTTATGAAAGTAAATTTTTAACACTAATAAGTATGAGATTCCATATTATTTTATGGACCTATGTAAATCAGTTATCACTTGAAAAAATATATAATTTTATTAATTTATTCATTAATCTTTAGAATATAAATCAAATAGAATAATTAAGTAATCTATCTTCTCTAAAAGATTGTTATTAATATTTGTGCTGTGGTGCAAGCGGTTATAAATTCAAATGTCGTAAAACCCCTTCAACACGAAGGCCCGCTGGAATTTTTCTAAGGAAGGGCAAAAAATATTTTTATACTTTGGTATAATGCAGGGGCATTTTTTTGGTTAAAAAAACTTCATAATTTATAAGTTTATTGTTTTCGATTTTTGGTGCCTTTTGCGTAGAAATGTTATTGCTTCTTTTTCCTTGCTTTTTGCATCCTTTCCCGTGAATTTTGTGTTTTTGCATAACTTGGTCTTTTTCCGTGTTTTTCTATCATTTAGCTTGTTTTTTACATCATTTTGCTTGCTTTTTGCAGATTTCACATCATATTGCTTACTTTTATGTCAGTTTGCATGGCTTAGTGTATTTTGATTTTTTAGTATTTAGGTGCTTTTGCGTTTCATCTACCAATTTGCATTGTTTAATTTTTTACAGGGTTCCGAACCGTAGCGAATATCGGTTTAGGCTCATATAAATATAACGGTTCAGGTTCGGTTCGTAAAAAATATCGGTTTGGTTTGAACCTTTGAAAACAGGTTTAAACATTTTTGTAATTCTATATGCAGAAGCATATTCTTTAAAAAAAATTATCACTTATCCTATAAAGCAACTTACGTTTATTTTATTATTATGGCACATATATACCTAATTTATAAATTATAACAAATAATCAGTATTACCTATAATATAAATAAATAAAAATGGTTACTGATAATAATTTACCAATAAAAGTTGATTATTAATAATCTTTAAGTCAGTTAGATCAAGAGGTTCAACCCGATTCACGGATCTTTTTAGAAGTTTAGATTCGGTTTAATTTGATAAATAATCGCGGTTTCAGGTTCAGTTTGGATTCCTGTTTTTTTGGTGTGCAGCTTAGAATTTTTCACTTTATAGGTCATTTTGCATGGCTGTTTATATATTATTATAATTTATATTTAAAACAAATATGTATAACTTCCAAATTATAACATTGTCATCTTAAAATTATATAGGCTAATGCAAATCTCTCTTTACTTTGTAAAAACATTTAAATAATTTCTGAACAAAATTCATCTTTATCTACGATTTGATTGCGATGTAACATGTATTGAGCTAAACATTTTTTTTTTCAGTGCTAAAACTTCTTTCTATTCTTCATAAATAGTGACAGTTTGATTGATTAAATTTGTTTTGCCGCAATTACCTCCACTCGCCTCCCTCTCCGGGCGTCCTAGTTCAACCATATCTTGGTAACAAAATTATCCAATAAAATGAGAAAATCTTTTATTATATAATTAATAATATAACAAAACTTTGCCAAAAAATTTAATTAATAATTTATAACATGCTAATAAAAAAAAATTGAAGATGTTAATTGGGGTTCGTCTACTCAAGCTCATGTTTACAAAAATGCTTTAACATTTTTGTATAAGCTTAACCAAACAGAGGAGCATGTCAAAAATTTTAGGTAAAACAAAAATAAAAATGCAATTTTTTTTAAAAAAAGAAGTTTTTATAGCTTTTAACGAGTTTTAAATTCTCAAAATTTTTACTAAATTATATTATAATTATCAATTAAAAAAATTACCCTACTAAAAGGGGCCATTCAAGTTCACTAATTAACCCATCATATAATTATATAATTTACCCAAAATAGCTTTATTTATCTCTTGAATGGTTTTCTTTGAGAAGATTTTACTCGATAATTTTTTTGCATTTTCGATGGATTTATTTATTTTATAAAGGCCACAAATTTTAGCCTTAACTGGTGATCCCAGAACCAGACCCACTTTCCTGGACTTTGCGAATCTATTCACCAAAAACTTGAGTCTCCTTATATGTGGTCATGTTATCATTGTAAGAAATTATTTATAATTTTTGAATAAGCTCTAATTAGTGTGCGTTTACCATTTTGTTTTTTTTTAAATTAAATTTTAAAATTTAGGAATTACATTTTTTTAATTTAAATTTATTAAGAGAATTATGGGAATTGTATTTATCGGCACAGTCAAAGTTAGTCAATTTATAGAAGTTTTAGTTAAAAATTATGTAAAAATGATAATTTTAGGTTTAACAAAAGGACATTTTCTAATGTAAATAAATATATTATTTGACAGAATAGTTCTAGCGATTGCTTATTGGATCTCAACACACCGAATGTTTACGAATATTTTCGTCATAAACGCATTAAAGCTATTTACAATCCCATAATTGCCCCTAATTTGAAGGATGGAGTCAGAGCATTACTTCAAGTAAAGCTAATTATGTGACAAAATTTGTCTGATTTCAGCCTTTTGCGATTTTAGCAGGATTATATGTATAATTTGACTGGACCAGAAAATTAGTATTGGCGTTAATATTAGCTGTACATTAAACATTTTGCCTGTTTTGATTGAATTGTTGATCGTTAATTCTTCTTCATTAGTGTTATAATTTGTTTTTAATCTTATGCAAATCTTATTTTATTAATTAACATAATATATGAAAGTTGTCAGGTTTAGGAAGAATGCGACCTAACTTATTATTAATGGGATATTTGAACGATTGTACCCCCAAAAACTTGGATATTCTTTTGTGTTACTTCAACATCATTCAGTAAGCATATATACTATATCTTCTTTATAAATTTGTCATTATTCAAAACTTAAATTTTTCTAACTTTAAACATTTAAACAATTTTTAACTTGATATAAAAAATATTAAGTCAAGTTTTAGTTTCAGAAGTTTAAGTATATCTAGAATTCTGACTTTTTTTTTATCTTCAAGTTTAAATTTAAAAACTTAATTAAAAGCTGAAGTTTATAAAAAATAAACTTTTTTATATTTAATTTATATACTAATTACAAATTTAATATTTGAGTGTTAGGGGGATTTTTGAACATATTCTTTTGTTTTATTTTTTTCGTTGCTTTTTTTTATATCCATAAAGATATAGGATATATATAAAAGAAATATTCTATGTAAAAAGCTTGGTGTGTATTTTATGTGGTCCTATAAAAGGATTCTATTTTTGCTAGTAGATTTAAAAATTTTAAATAATAATTTATATTCCATTTGCAAATCGCTTGATAAGACACTATCGAGTTTTTAATATCATAACCCCCCCCCCCCCCTTCAAACTAAAAAAAATGAAATAATCTTTAATATTTTTCTATCCCATTATATAGCGATGCTTTTGACCTATATCTATGTGTAGGCATACTTAGGATGCCTATGGGGTTATCTCTTCCTACACGTTGTAGTTTTGCCCAAACATCACCAATCTTATCGCAGAAAAATGATATTTCCCCAGAGCGCGATAACAAAATTATGGTTCCAAATAGTACCTATCAAAAATCACTACCTTCTAACTCTATCACATCTCTCACGTCTATAGCATCTAATAATATTATAGATTCTGTAAAATTTCATAAGCACAAGAAAATATCCAAAGCACGTCCTTTGTCTTTTGTTGGGGGACAATTCGTAGTCAAGCGTAAATTGAGCAATAAATGTAAGCGTTTGATTTTGAAAATATTGTTGTTTTTATTTACATTTAAAAATTCATTATCGGAAAACTAATATTGTTTTTTATCTGTTGAAAAGAGATTCTAGGAGATAAAAGCTAGATTCTCAATTTTTAGCGATTTAGAACGGGAACCGTTGAATTGATTTACCTAAATATAAAATATTTTTTTGTTTTAGTTTGTTGTCTAATTTTTTTTAAAGTTTTAAATTTAAGATTTACATTTTTTTAACGGTAAATTTTTTTTTTAAAAAAAGATTAAATTCAAATACAAACAATATCAGATTAAAAATATATTTATATAAAGCAAATAAGGATATATTAAAAATTATATATAAAAAAATATAAATATATATTTTATATAGAAAAATATTAAAAAATGTGCATAATACTCTAGAAGTGAATGTTTAAAAAATTGGACCGGCAGATTTCGAGGGAAATCTGATCCTTCATTGGGATCCCCCATATTAATTTTAAAAAATGATATAATATATGGATGTTATAAGATAAACAAGAATTTGCCAGAGACTCAGGAATATCAATATACCAGAGATGCATAGATACCTTTATTTTTTGCTACCAAATTATTCAACTCATTAATAGTTTAATTCAATCATTTCCCATACAATTTACACCGAAAAAATTCATATATTCTCTTGCAAATGTATTAGATATCTTTAAAAAATCGTTAGTTATTAATATCCATTTTATTTAATAAATGTTGCCTTCTCTTTTTTTAGGACCGATATTTCTTAAAATTATTTTTATGAGATTTGATTATATTTTCCGTTTGGCTGGCGAAACTATTTACAATCCGAGAAGGAAAAAAAAATTCAAATTTATAATTTTGTTACATATGAATATAATAGCTTTAAAAAAATTGATTCATTTAAATAAAATATAGTTAAAATAATTACGTTTATTTTAGTAAATTTTTTATAAAAGTATCTGTGATATACGACCTATACCCGGCAGTTTTGGAATAGATATCTGCAAAAAGTGGTATGTAAAATATATTTGAAGTCTTTATCATACTTAATAAATACATATTGTCAGAACAACATGTAGATCGTCGGCTATTTTTCCTATATAGGTGAGTGTTCATTGGGGCTTTGTGCTCTGTTTATCAGCGTTATGCAATGTATAACAAAGGATTTAATAAATGTATAATTATCATTTATCAAAAAAAGTTATTTTATCCCTTTCATTATTTTAGCGAAACTCAAAAATTTGTATCACAAATGTTCACCCAAATTTGAAAGAGCTAAAGAACTTCCTGATAACCCTTCGAAAGCAAGAAAAAGTGCTAATAAAATTAGTCGCAAAAAGAAATTTTCTCGGGCCATAACCCAATTTTATCATTCCAATCACCCTAAAGACATCCGAGGTTTACGACTTTATTACGACAATTACTTCCGCGTTAGGCATAAGCGTAGTACTATAGATGTATGGTGGCTTTTTGACGATGGAGGTTAGATATTGCATATTATTTAATGTTGTTAAATATTGATAATTCATAAATATATTTAATTTTTTTAACATCTTATATACCAGGGATGTGAATTAGACCCTAAACCCTAACCCTCGTGTTTTTGCTGAGCTAGAAACCAAATCCGAACTTTTTTAAATAAAAAATAATCATGAAAAATAAATAAAAATTACATTTTATTTCTGGAATCATTTTCCATTTTCTCCGCATTTTTCCAAATTTTCAGTTTTTTGCATACAGTTTGTAGTTAAAATTTTATTATAAATGATAATTTAATAATTCTATAGGTGCTTACCTTGATTTTAAACAATTTAAGAAAGTAAAATATTGGGGCAAAAACAGAAAGAGAAAGGAAAATAAAATCAATAGATATTCAATTTTTAAATTTTATTTAATTGCAATATAAGCGATGTAAATATAAAGGTTGTCAATAGATTTGGCATGTTTAATTTTGTTTGTTGAATACTTTTTGGTTAAAATAATACAAAAAATAAAAATGATTGTAAGATAAATGATTTTTAAATTTTTGCTGTAAATTATGATTATATGGAGTTAAAAAATAAAATATTTGTCTATTTCTTTATGCTCTCCAAACCCTGAACCTGAACCCTTTTGTAAATTTTTAACTAAACCCTGACCCTGTTTTTTTGTTGAAGGATTCACATCCTTGTTATACTTATTTTAAAAAGCTATAATATCAATCATTTTTTTAGAAATGTAATTTGAGTATGAACATTTAATTTTAGTATTAAAGTAAATGATAATTTACTTCAAATTAACATTATTTTTATTTTGGTATTTTTACTAGAGTCATATGTGAATTGTGACTTAGATAAGAAAAGAAAATAATATATTTAATTTTTATTACACTAATATGAGTGCCACAAAGATTGTTATAAAAAGAGAAAGCTATCGTTTAGAGAGGTTTAGATATAAAGAAAATCATTATTATCTACGATTAATCATAATTTTTTTTATAATTGATTACAATTACTAATTACATTTCTACTACATGTAATTGAATATCAATTAAAACTGATCCTGTTTTTAGGCTTAGATTCTGAAGCTTCTTGTATTCTTTAATTTATTTGTTAAGTATAAAAAGATAATATATAATCTTTCAATCGGTCGACCCCAAGACCTATGCAAAAACTGAGCCAAATAACGAAACCAAACTACTACGCGATCCAAACCCGACCGTTCACCTTGACTATTAACAATTTCAATATCTTCATAACCAACTTCATATTCAGAATCCAAATATCGGATTCTTAATCCGACATTTTAAAATATAAGGGAGGAAATAAAGTAATTCGAATGAAATTAAAAATAAGTTTAATCTACTATAAATATGATATAAAATATTATAATTGAAATCACTGATTTTATTATATTGCTAAGTACTTTCTTTTTTTGTAATATATTACAAATTACCTTTCTTTTCTTTTGTAGTCAATTACTCTCCGATTCTGGTTCGATAAGGTAATAGTTAAATAATATATTGAGGATAAATTAATCTCGAAATTTACCATATTCTGTAATTATTTTTATTTTTAAAAAAATATCCATATTATAAAGGCCTTACAATTTTACTCCCTTATATTATATCGCAGAGGAGAAATTGGCAACATTGTAAAGTTAGATTTTTCGCTTTATCAAAAGACAGCAAAGAATCGGATCTTATTCATCACAGGTGGTTTAAGAATAAGAACAATCTTTTTTTTTAAAGAATTTAGTATTTATATATAATTATTAGGTAAAAAAATTTTTAAAAGAAATTGGGCATCAAAAAAGAGTTATATTATTTTTTTAAAGGTTTTGTTTAACGAAAGTATAAAAAGAATTTCAATTTATTAACAAAATTTTGGATAAATTTATGAAGCCCCTAAATAATGTAATTATTTTTAAAAAATATTTTGATGAATAGCTTCGCAGCAATGTTGAACAAATTCAGGATTGATTTTTCTGATGTTTTTATCATTCCAGATATTGAAAAACTTCCTTACCCAACAACGTATAACCTTATATTTATTTCATATTTTTAAAATTAGATTGCTATTAATTATAATTTTTATTCATTCAAATTATTTGATTTAGTTATTTGATAATATTTTTAAATGGCTTCCTAACACTTTCGGTTTTCCTGAATCTTATTTATATCTATTAATAGGAATCATCAACATCTTATGTAGTGTTGTTAAACGGTTCGATTTAAGCCTATTTTTAAAAACGGCTAACTCAATATTTTACCTCTAAAAATTTTATGCAAGCCTTAAAATTTTGCTCATAGATGTCAAAAAAATTTGGACTTCTATTAGCGAAATCTTGAGCCGTGGGTAATATTTTTCTGGCTAAAATATTGAATTAGCCATTTTTAAAAATCGACTCAAATCGAGCCTTTTAACAACACTACATCTTAGGATAATTAATTACTGGGAAATGTTGGGTATATTAATTAAATATAGAATTTTTGTTTTTAATTATTATTATTAATATTAAGTAAGTTTTATTATTAAGTTATTTTTTGCTAGGTTGAATATATTATGAATCAAATTTAAAACACTACAGGATAATTAATTGCTAGGACATGTTGGGTATATTAATTAAATATATAAATCTTGTTTTTAATTAATATTATAAATGTTAAGTAAGTTTTATTATTAAATTATTTTTCGCCAGGTTGAAAATATTATATCTCAGAATAAGATTTAAATCTGCCATATTTATAATATTTATTAAATAAACAAATTTATGCTATCCCCTCTACGTTATACCAAAGTCCGAAGGATCTGCCATAGTAATAAGAGATTTCTCGATACCCCTTCCTTCTCAAATCGATTCCTTTGATATCCAATTAACTCAAGATAGCAAAATACGCATGAAAAATTGACATTAGGTTAGCATTCCCCTCCATTCCCTTATCAGATCACGTGCGGTGTTTCTTTGGACTTCACTTCAGAGGTCAAACCTATCGATACAAGGTTCTCCCAATGGGGACCTCCTTCAGCCCATATTGCCTTCAGTCAATCATCCTGGATGCCTGCGCCAAAACAGTATGGAAGGCGAATTACAACGTGTACCTGGATTATATCCTGATCCACGGCGAGAGCGAATTTGACGTCAAATGGTCTACTAGATCTCTACGATGTACCTTGGAGGGATGGGGATTCGAATTAGCCCTCTACAAATCTCTCCTCAACCCAACACCGTTCATCATAACTTACATAGAGGCCCCCATTGACCTACAAGCCAAAACACTCGCTGCAGACAACAACACGAAGGCTATTAACCAAATGTCTAGAAATATTCAGGTGACTCGTACCAACACTAAGACACGGGCCATCTCCTTGCCGCCAGTATCCTAGGGATCGAACCAATTTGCCTACACAATCACGGGCATGTCACGTCTCTTTTCCCCATATTACACAACTATAAATGATTCGGCATGACCCCGGTAGTGAATACTTACCTATCCTTCCAAAAAGCCCAGATTATTATTGGCGCGCTTCAGAAATCAATTAGCATCCGCTTACGCCAACAATGTGGTCTACACCGACGCATCGGACAGTCATATCGGTATCTCCTTCTGTGGCACCGATAACTTATAAATAGTATACCAGGGGGTCATCCTCCTGTTCAACATTCCAGCCCACGCCATTATGCATACTAATGCCAAAGAAATACTAGCAGTGGGGTCGAGCTCTTCTCGCCATCAGCAAAGAAGGAGCTCCACCGGTTATCTTCACTGACTCAACTGTGGCCTACTACGTCTATAGAAAAGGAGTTCGAAGTCGACATCTATAGAAATCGTGATCACTCAAAACCTCAGGAAGTTAGGGTTGCTAAATTTCACTAAGGTCAGCCAAAACATTCAGTGGGTCCCCATACGAAAATCCAGCAGAGGAACCGTCAGGAGATTGGATACGGGACAGCCTATAAACTGTTCGACTCTAGCTGCCAGTGACAAATCAAGATGATCACCAACTTAGACGCCCAGCATTCTATAGTCAGGATCGAAACAGACGAGACGCCATTGTCGATCTCAGAACTTTCCGAGCCATCCGGGGAAGGATTTGCCGAGCGTTAGTTCGTGTCTCCATCCATCTAGGGTACATCGTAGGGGTCTAGTAGACCATTTGAGGTTTAATTCGTTCTCGCTGTAGATCAGTATATCGTCCAGGTGTTTTGACGCAGGCGTCTAGGATGATTGACTGAAGGCAAACGTGCTGAAGGAGGCCCCATTGAGAGGACTTTATATCGATAGATTTGACCTCTGAAGCGAAGTCCAAGGAAACGCCTTACGCGATCTCATATGGGATGGAGAAGAACGCTGACATAATGTCAATTTTGCATGGGTTTTTGCTCTCTCGAGTTTATTAGACATTAGAGAAATCGATACGGAAGGGGTATCGGAGGAAAATCTTGGAGTAGATCCGTTGAACTTTAGTATGACCTAGAGGGGGAGCATATTTCATCACTTTCCCTTAATTCAATGATACCCGCGGCCAAAATATGGGTGACGATTGGTTCATATCTATCGGCGAGGGCATAGTTTTGCCGGTGTCGAAAGTACCTTCCCTCGTTCTCACCGATCCTAGCATGGCCCAGTCTTGGCCTGAATCTTCTGGTTGCCATCGCGCAAGTAAAATTGGGCATCAACGATCCCACTGTAGACTTGGCCGGAGCTATGTTCAGGGAAGGACTGTTGGCAAGATCGGCGTCTGTGTGAATCCGCCGGCCACACTCACGATAGCCGCGATGATGTCGTTCATAGTGGGGGGGGGAGCCGTATTTTTCAAGGATTTGACGTTACGGGCCATTGCGGCTGCTGGAATACCAGGAGGTTGATGACGGTTTGTCCATAAATCATTCCTGTATCACCGAATCCTCTGACATTAGAGAGACTACGTCAGATGTTGATTCATTTGTCAATTGGCAGCAGAGGGGTCTAACGGTATTGAAGATGTTGACGGATTATCGTGGCTTTCTCCGTCAAATATCTGCGGGTCTTTGGGGGGGGGGAAACAGTTCACGCCTCAATTCCCTGAGATATTTATCATATTTAGCCAATCTGGGAGCACTAGCTCTCCCCTTATCATCGGTGGGCCAAACTACTGATCCTGGGGTCCTTCAAGTCCCGGTTAAGCCCTAAAGAGGGCTGGTGGGTTTTATGGGAAAAGAAGTTAAGAGCGCTAGATGGGAGTAGAGATGGAGAGTTAGAAGAAGCTTATTTGGTAAAATAAGATGAATCGTGTCTTTAGCGCAACCCATTTTTTTTCTTACCCCTAGCGGTGGTCATTTTCTTCTGCTGCGTCCTTGGTCTCCTAAAGGCGCACGTACCCATGGCGGTACGTCCTTTGTCTCGAAAGGGCCGTGTGTCCGGATGATCTTGATTTCCTCTGAACCCATGTACTGCTCTTGAAATTACATGTCGTTAGCACGGGCAGTTTTAATCCAATTAATGGCTAATTTTAGGGTCCTGATTCTTTCCGTTATAGCATCGACGACTCCCATCTCTGATCGTGCATTAGCTTCACAATTTTTCTAATGTGTTTCAGCTCATGCCGGTCGCGCTCGTTGGCTTTACACTTGGGTTCCCTTAGGTCACTCATCAGGACTCTCCAAGTTAATTTTTGTCCACTGTGGCCAAGGGAGGCTTGGGAGTTGCTAGCTGAAATCTAGCTTGCGGCGTGGACCCTGTGCTGATGCGGTCATTGAGGACACTGTCTTCCGAGTCTGTTTCCGATATTTGTTGGCTCGTTTGCCGGCCCGGGCCCATAATGGATACTGATTGTCCGGGGCGAAATCCTCTTGATTCGGAGTGTGCCGGGGCCGGCGGTGCTATTCCGTTCATTTGAATTGTAAGAGCCGTTATCGCTGCCATTATCACACTAAGTTGGTCATTGGGCTGGATCCCACTAACTTGGGGCTCTGTGACCGATTGATTCGGAGTCAAAATCATCGTGTGATAGTCCTCCTTTATCGGATGCTTGGCCTGCCCTACTGCGAAATAATATTTCAAGAAATTTATAAGCAAAGAGAATTTTTTATGTCTTTATGCTCTCGAACCCTTTTTTAAATTTTTATCTCTGAACCCGGATCAGAACTATTGTTGTTGAAGGGTTCATATCCCTGGTTTTTACATCTTGCTAACAACATATGAAGGATAGCAAAAGTAAAACCTTATTTGTAGGTTCGGTTGATAAATCTACAGTCCTGAATATTTACTTTCAGCCTATTTTAAAATTATTTCTTACTATGGCTATAGTAAGGTTAATATATTGTGGCTATAGTAAGGAATCACGTGATCGACTCCCTCAAAAAAATCTTTCAATGCTATTCAATGTAAAGAATTAAATCATCTTCTATCAAGAAAACATAAATTATGTTAAAAATCACAACATATATCTAAAAAAATTTCTTCTTTATAAAATGTATTATTACTCGATTCGTATTTTACGAATTTCGATTCGAAAATTTTATCCATTATTCGTATATTTTGAAATTTTTCGCATATTCAAAATTTATCCTAAATGATCTCATTATTCGAAAATATTCGTAAATATATAAATTTATTTATAATTATTTAACATGTTCCTTACGAATTTTTAAACTTCCACATCTATAATTATCTTTTTAAAATAATAATCTAATTTTTCCAAATTTAGAAAAAATTTTTGGAGATTTTTTTAAAGAAGATAGATTTTTATCAAATTTTACATAAAATTCGAAATATGTTTAGAAAAAAAATTTACGAGTATATCTTTTATAAATTTCATGCATAATAAATTTTTCAAGATAAAATCACAATTTTTTTTACACAATTATTGAAAGATTTATTAATTTTCGAATCGAATATTCGACGATTTAAAAATAATGTGTTTATTATTCATACAAATAAGGAATTATTCGATTCGCATGAATACGAATAATATAATTATTTGATTCTAAAATATGATCAAATACGAATAATGCAAATATTCGATTCGTATTTTTGTAGGTATAGTCTGTAATTTTTATAAATTATAAAAAGGGGTGGGGGCACATTGTGAGCATCCAAAATTCCAGTAGATTAATTTTCGGGAGGCCGGAAATCTAAGTTATCTAATGTTATCTTAAATTGCTTGCCTTATATAGCAGTTATGTGTTATCATATATTCAAATTATTCATTGTCCAGTAATGCTGCACATAATAATTAAACAACCAAACATAGCCATGTATAATTATCTTAAAAAACTATTTATAACTTTTCTATCAATGTTACTAATAATGAGGAAAATAAAGTTATTATATATTTATATTTGTATATATTTCAGTCAGAATCGATTCGAGAATATGGTTCGATTGTACAGGGTCAAGGACGATGACGACCCTAAATACAAACCAGGTATGATAACGGATGCCGAATATGTATCTTTCGAACAAAAAAGCTTCAGACATATGCGCTTGCAGGAATTGCTCCAAAAACACTCCAAGGAAGCTAGTCTTATCGTCATGTAATTTTATTTTCGCGAATTTAAAAATGATTCTAAAATTATAGTTTTTTTTATTAATACTTTTTTATCTTATAACTTTTATATTATACCCATTATTTCCAAAATATGCATAAAGATAGTTACAATTAATTGGGCAGAAATATATTTTAGCAAAAAATTTCAGTTACAATCCGCATGACCTTGAGAAAACTTTAAAATGTTAACTTTGACAATTAGAGATACTTTTATGAAATAAGTAAGTATTCTTAAATACTTGAATTACTATATTAAATTAACAATTTCTGATATCCTGGACTTAAAAAAGACAAAGTGAGAAGATATTGTGATATAGTAGCTTACTCTTATTATAATATTCAAAATATCTTATTATATTTTTAAAAAAAAATTTTTACTCAAAAATTAAAATGAAAGAACGTTGCCTATTCCTAGGAAAGGAACATGCTCAGCGACTCTGTATATGTCTTGGCTCGAAATAATGACTCAAAATCTTCCGCCTACTCTCATGATCAGAGGTAACCAACAGAGCGTTTTGACGTTTTACTCATAATTTTCGTTCGCGAATTATATTATTAAATTATATTTCGTTTTTAAAGCACTTATTCTATTATTGAAGATATTTAATTGGAATCAAATTTTTATTATTTATTTCTTCAAAGTGGGACACAAAATAATTTAGTTCAATTGTATAATTTCACTAAATTAATATTTAAAAAAAAATTTATTATATAAATTATTTATAAATTATTGTCAAATACTTTAATATAGTCAATATCATCGGTTTAAATTCTACCTCATCTCATTCATAACTATGCTCATTTTTTAACAATAATAAAGAATTAGTGATAAATGTAATAAAAAAAATAATATGAGAAGAGTATATATATATATATATATATCTAAAATGTTTATTCTAAAAAATCTTTGGTACCCGAGTATTTTTTGCCTGGAAAATATCAAAAAATATGGTAAGGTTAAGTTTAACTACCACCCTTTCCGCGATATATATATTTATAATTTCTATAATATAATGTTTAATATTACTCTACGTCTAAAATAAATTAGAGCTAATGAGTTTTAAAAAAAACAGCATTGAATTTATATAACCTAATATAAATCATTGATTTAAAAAGGGCATAGTAAAAAGGATACATTATATTCACTGTTTTAATCATAAGTTACATCTGTTATTCAAAATTATTTTAAACCGAATTTATATAGTTTTTTAAATTTAGCTAATGTTTCATTTAATTATTTTGGTAAGGGGGCAAAAAGTATAGACAGTATTGGCAAATTTAGGTTAATAATTTAAAAAACTATTGTGGTGTGCGTCCTTAGGTGTACGTGAACAGTAGGTTTCATGAAATGAAGGATGCAAGCTCATGATGATTCTTATGAAGCCCTGACACCAAATTAGATTAGTTGGATATGGGTTCTTGCATTGGGGGGGGGGGCACGCGAGCATGGTCTTGAGACAAAGGATAACAGGTATTAGGAATATCTTGTATTTTATGGAACATGTTCTTATATATGTATATCCAAGGTCTATCTAATCTAATTAACTTGAAATATTATAAATATTGTTATTAAAATGTTTTTGAAATACTCATTGTAGGATGAGTGGAAGAATTTTTATCAATATTCTTAAAATTAGATACCATGATGATACGATAATAAATTGTTAGTTAATTAAATTCTGTCCATGGCAATTTTTTTATATATCATACCTTCTACTGGGGACACCCACAATTTAGTAGGCGTACGTCCACCCTTGTGTTAAAAAACCCAATTTGGGTCTTAAAAAACGAACCGATTAAGATTATAACCAAAATAACATTATTATGCCTAATTATTTTGCACATAACTGGCAGAAATGCCTGGACATCAATTTGCCAAATCTTGATTACATAATATTATTTTGGGTAAAATCTTAAGGGCCGTTTTGAAAAATCGGGATATTTAACAATACTAGCCCACCCTTTATAAAGCGTATCTAATGCAGTCGAATAGTGTTCTCTGTTTGGCAGTAATTTACCCTACTGTCAGAGTCCGTTTAATTATAGAGGTAGGGTGGCACCTTTATAAAGATTAAGCATAGATTTAAGGTAGTAGTAGATATATTAAATTAGTTCCAATATTGGTAAGAATAAAGAAATAAGTAAATTATTTCATTTTTTATAGAGATTTTTGTAGGAGGGGGTAGTTTATTTGTATATTATGGTTATTTTATGAAAAATATTAATTCTAAAAGTATAAAAAAATAACAATAGAATAAAAAGTAACCTGTTGATGGTAGTTATTAGCTTTGTGTTTGTATGAATTTTAAAAAAATATATTTTATTGTTTTATAAAAAAGCAAATGATTGTATAACTTTTATAATCAAGATAAAAATTTTGTTAGACTATCATAAATTTTGATGTGACTATTATGAAAATGCTTAATTGATGTACAACTAGAGACGTAACAGTCACCCCCACCCTGCACACGGGGCAAGACAGTTTTTTTGGTCTCCATTTATGTGGAGAGACCAGAATGTGCCGGTTTGTATTAGTAGGGATGGGGAATTAGATTCTCGCGATACCCCTCTATTGATTAGATATTATACTCAGTTATAATAAATAATAAGTGAAAATTATAGAGATCTTTCAAAATTCGATTATTATATCTTATTAACGGTACAATTGATTCGATATGCACTATTTTTTCGTTGCCTTTTAAGAAATTAAACTAGATTACCTACCTTACTCATTAATATCCGAAAATAAGAAACGCGTTATTTTAAAATAATGATTTTCGTTAGCTTGAAAATAATTGCTATAGCAGATATTAATTAGCTTTTCCCAGATAGTTAAAAGAAGGATATAAAAATATAATATTATGATTGAAAAATATCGTTATAACAAAATGTATAAATATCTAAAATTTATAATTATTATATTACAGATACGATACATTTTCTACCTATTTTTTATTTATTTTTTTAAATATTTATTATAATTTTGATCAAATAAATAGGAGAGTTTAGCATGTATATATACGTTACTTAAAAATGTATTTTATTTTATATATACACCTTACTTCAAATATAGTAACAAATGACGTTATACCCGAAAAGTTATTCTGAATAAATGACTTTTGTTAATTTACAACACTTATTTAAACAATAAGTTAGGATATTGAAGGATCTTTCATAATATTCAATAAGATAAATATAAGTGGTGAATGGCTGTGATAATTAAATATATACACTGTTATGTTAATCAGTAATAATTATTTGGGGTGCTACATCTTTCAGTGGAAGTGTGTAACTCAGTTAGGGCTAAAGTAATTTTTCTAGAAGGTCTAAAATTTTTTAGGGGGTGATGATCGTAAAATTAGTCATAAATCGGAATGGGATCATTGAGACATTTGTTGCAAAGAATGGTTGCACAGTACCCACATTGAAAATGCATATTTCCAATAATGATACATCGAAAATTTAATCCTTTGAAATATAATCACTTTACATATAGGAATAAAAATTTAATTTAAAAAAATATAAGTGTATCGCCGCTGATGGCACTATATTTAATACATAATTAAAACAGTTTTTATATATTTTTTTCATTTCAATTAAGTAAATAAAACTAATATATTATTTTATAACAAATGAAAAGCATATAACTATTTTTTCTAAGACAAAATTAATAAAGGCGATAAGTATAAAATAATAATTAAAGGAAAAGAAAAGGTTAAAAAAATAGATATCTAAAAAAGAAACTAGGAAGGAGAAGTAAAGAAATATAAGGAGGCATGGAAGATTATTCGATAGAAAAACCTTTTATTTCTTTTCAAATAGCCGCTGAAAAAAAGTAAAAGTTATGTTATAATTTAAAAAATTAAACATTTAAAACAAAGGGATGAAAAGTTCAAGCTCTCGTCCACATAAATATAAGTAATTAAATGCAATAAAAACCCATTTCCATTTTAATATATTAAAGGAATTTCGCGTCGTTTCCGATATATATTGTATCCCTAAGCAAGTAACAACTTGGTTAACTTATGTAGAAAAAGACGCAACTTCCTAGATCTACAGATTAAGTAATATATGCAACAGGGTTGGGCTAATTTTCAGAAAATTGTATTCGGATACAGATACTTTATAAAATTTTGTATTTAAGATACAAGATACTTTAGAAAAATTTCAATAAGATACAAGATACTTGTATTTTTTAAAAAAAAGTATCTAAGATGCAAGATACTTTTTTAAAAAACTTTTAATAGTCAAAATCAAAATGTATAAAGCTTTATTTTCTTATCTATAATATAAATTTATAAAAAAATATTTAAAATAAATTGTAGAAAATAACAAATTTATTATAAAAGATAATGCGATATTCCATTTAATAATTATATAATTAGTAAATAATAATAAATCAGCATTATTTTTTAATATTATTAATTTTTCGTTCACTCTTTGACGATTTGGTCTATTAACCATATTAGCAAAGCTTAATAATCTTTCAACGGGGGCTGAGGAGGGTAATATTGTGTTATATTTAATAAATATTTCTTTTATATATTTATAACTATTTAACATATTTATACTCCGCCTGTCATCTTTCATATAATTTAGGACCTCTATTTCAATTTCATTTATTGAATTATTAGAATTGGATGTGGTACTTTTAAGGCAAAAGTAATCATCATCTTCATCAATTGAAGATTTTGTTGAAGTATTAATTTCAATATTATTTTTAAAAACAATCTTCATGTAATAACAAATCCTGAAGGTATTTTTTTCCCTTTTCACCATCAATCCAACGATTTTTAAAACAGGGATGAGAAATAGTTGCCAAAAAGGTACTTTTAAAATTGTTATCAAAATCATATATATTTTTAAATCTTTTATTTAAATAATTTTCTATGGCAACAGCTAATGGTTTGCAAAATTGTAGATTGGTTTGAATTAAATTTGTAATTTTTTTTAACGACATTTAAAATTGGAGCTGATTCTCCATAATAGCAGTTGGTTTCACTCTGTATTTTGTCAATCGCTATAGCCAATGGGGCCATTATATTGCAATATTCTTCTAAATATTGAATTTCAATATCTCTTAATTTAGGAAATTCTAATTTTTGACATAATTTAGGAAGTTCGCCTTTAAATTTTAATAAACTATGAAGACTATCATACAAACTATTCCATCTAGTGCAGCAAGGTGTAACTAATTGTTTTCCTAAAACTGCTTTGATAAGTTCTGCAGTTTTAGGCTTATTATATGCATTCCATAGCTTAGTACATTTAGCTATTGCAGATGAATTTTAGAAATGTTAGGAGAATCCTTAATAGCTCTCTCGACATCTGTTGTGGCAATTAGACTTATCGTATGGCACAAACAACGAATGTGTTGAGGCAATGTTATTGAAGCTTCTTTAGACCCTTAAATAAACAAATAAATAATTTTATTTGAATAAAAAATTTTACTAAATTTACAATATCTGTTATATTATAGGAATTAATAAATTAAAATATTGGTTATTGAATATTTTAATTTTTATATTGCATACATTCATTATATTTTTATTTGGTTTAGGAATTCAAATTCAACTTGTATTACTTTTTATGAATTATAATTTATCTTTTCAATTCAACTTTTTATTTTTGTAATTCAACTTATATTAC